TCAAAACCAGCCAGGGCAAATTGTTCCTGAGACCCTATCTCGAAAAAAACCCATCACTAACAAGGGCTGGAGGAGTGGCTCAAGGTGTAGGCCCTGAGTTCAAACCGCAGTATCACAAAACAAAACAAAAACGATGACAATTTTAAAATTGAAAATTCCAAAATCAAATGATGCTATTTAAAACCTCACTGGGCTTGAGCCTGAGACCTTTTCTCTCTCCACTGAAAAGAGGTGAAGGACCCCCAGCATGTTTGAAGCCCTGGGTTTCATCCCCAGCATGGGGGTAGAGGGGAGACACGACACCAAGCAACATTAAAAAGCACCACGCAAGTTTATCCCCGATACAGTCAGATGAATGAAATATGAATGAGAAAGTAAATTAGTTCCTGACTGCGTAACATCGTTCCCTAATGCCTCCTTACAAAAGCAATGGGACAGTATGCATAAACAGACTACACATCTCACACTATGAATCCTATCCTTTACAGGTCATGGTAAAAACAGCCACCATTCGGAGCACACTGGTTCCAGGCACGGGGGTAACTTCTTAACGTTCCACAATGGTTCCAGGTGAGTACCACTGGCTCCAGGCTACAGATGAAGAAACAGGTCCAACTGACTGGACGTCAGAATTCACTCTAAAACTTATCCTTCTAACCATTACGCTCAACATGGAAACTAAGTATGCCTAGGAAAGGCTCACCTCATGAGTCACAGATGGACAACACAAAACTTTATTTCCCAGATGGAAAATTCCACATGACAGCCAGCTGCCATGCAGGCCCCACACCAAACTCCCTTTGTTCATCCACAGCTGTCTTGACTATAGACCTTCCTGGGGTCTACCAGAAACAAGAGACTTCCGCAGTCCTGGGGAGAGGTCTGCAGCAACTCAGGTATCTGAATGGGTGAATGTGGCGACTACTGGAGCCCAGATAATTAATCCTTTCAGGAGTCCCCCCGCGGAACAACTGTGAAATGCAATTTTGCCAGGACAGTCACGAGAAAACACCCTTCTTGGTTCCTGACACAGCTGGCTCTGTACTGTTGCAGAGTGCAACAGTAAAGATATTTTGGGCAAAAACCACACGAGAAACAGGATAGTCAATATGGCGAGACTCCAGCTGTGAAAGGATATGCCACGATGGCAGAGCAACAAAACTGCCACTCCCAAGACGGAGGAGGCAACAACCCAGCCAGGAGGTAAGGATCAGAGAGAGGGAGCAGCAGGAAAGACAAAGAGGGGGTAGAATGAGAGGGGAATGTTTGGTGGGGACAGAGGTTCCAGAGGCAAGGACAGGTTCCATGAGTGCACAGAAAATCCAAAAGTAAAAAAAAAAAAAAAAAGAACTGACTAAATGAGATGAGTCCAGGGAAGTCACAAGAACGGCTAGGGATAGCTTCTCAGCCTTTTGGCTAAGTATAGTATCCGTCCTTATCAGTTTTGTATCTGATGTGTCCTCTATCCAGGGATGACACATGAAGTGGATTTATGGAACAGGGAGACTGTACTATCCACTCCACACATCGACCTGGCATTGCAGTGCTGCCAGGAACATGCACCCCTCCTAGAATTATGGTTACTGGAGGCCTGGCTCAATCAGCAGAGCATCTGCTTTGAAAGTGTAAAGCCCTGAGTTCAAACCCCAGTCTCATCAAAAAACAAACAAACAAAGAATGGCTGGGGGTGTAGTGCAGTCATCCAGCACTTGCCTAGCATGCTCTGGGTGGGTTCATCCCCAGTCTGGGGCCAGAGATCTGAGGCCTGGGAACAATCCAAGTGCAGAGGGTCAGAGAAGGGAGAACGGCAAGGGAAGGGAAGGGCCCTGAATGCCACATGTAAATAACTCGGGTCACAGAGATGAAGCATGTAAATGCACAAGACTCCTAGCAAGCAGCTCCGCTGTGCACACAGAGCTTCCTGTTACAGCCCTGGACATCAGTCCTCTTGGTGACGAGTGACTGTTCTCATTCTCCATCCTGGACTAACAGTGTGTTGCAATTGTATACTTTGGTGCTCTATGCCAGAGTGCAATTCTTACACAGGGGTAATGCTTTCAAATAACTTAATACCCTGACAAATTGACTTGTAAGAATTAGCTTTCTGTTTTAAAGTAGCATGCAAAGAAAACTGACTCTCTTTATAAAACTGGAAAGGGTACTCTCTCATAAAAACACCTTTAAAAAGATGGTTGTATCATTTACAGAACGCCCAGAGTAGGTCAGATGCTAAAACACCCCTAAACGTGAACTATCTGAGGTTGTTCCACAGATAGGCAAGTGGGTGAGGCCTCAAATTAGTTGGGGTGTTTCAGGAGGCAGTGTGCACACTGGTGGTTTTTGTGGTCTTCAACCGTCCTGCTAGCCTGGGTAATTCTGGGTAGTCGGGAACCATCTGGTGACAGTGTGCAGCCTGGCTCAGCAGAATCCAGCACAGAACTCTGAGCCTCCCAGAGATGCACTCCCTGCCAAATATCACCATCATGACTGCGTCCACCTACTCTAGGACCCTGCCCAAAGACCCCAAGACTGCACACTTTCCCTATGATGAACAATACATTCAGAAGGAAAAAAACCATTCTATTCATCTATTTTTAATACCAATGGAAGCAACTTGGTGATGTAATGTATGCTTCATAGTCACTTGTGTCCTGCTGGCCTGTAACATTTATAGATCCTGTCCAGATTTTTCTTAAGCTCCACATTAAAGCACTCAGCCCTGCATCCAACTCACTGTAGGCAGGCCATTTCTGTTCATCTACTTGAACAAAATGACCGTGGGGTAGTGAGAGGAAGTTCAGTCTCCCAGGGAGCGCTCATCTCTCACAGGAATGGGAGTTACTTTCCCATATCAGAGAAAGTAAAGGGCCAGCCACAGGCAGTGGCCTCACAGGTACAAAAGCAAAAAGCCCAAAAGAAACAGAGTGCTCAGAGCTGGCTAAACCCAAGAGGGAGGAAAGGTCTCAGGCCTGGAAGCAGGTGAGACCAGGCAGGGAGGGAGCAAGACACCTCCCAAGAGTGCCACCCGATCTCCCTGCTCCTAGAGCTGGGGTGAAACCACTATGCACCCATCTCTCTTCCAGGATCTTGGACAAAACTGCGGGAGCTCCAAGGGCCACTTCTCAGTGTCCCTCAGATGTGGAGCCAACCAACAAATCAAGTCCAATTCTTCTGGACTGAATCATTTCTAGGTCTGGTGTCTATGTCACATGGCCACATTCCTCCACACCTCCATGACAGAATGAAGTTATGGATGCCAGCAACTAATAAACAGGAAGAACCGAACAGCGCAGATGTCACCAAAACACTAAACAGCACACCCCGCATCACTAATAAAGACCCACTAGCTACCTGTTATGAGGACAACACAGCCCAACAGGCACGTGGAGGCACAGTCAAGACCTCGGCCCCAGGTCCTATGTGGGCACTACTGTCTGCTCTCCCAGTAATGCTGTCTGGCAAGATTATTTCAGGTGACAAGTCAGGCTGGGAGTGCTCACCCAAGGTATCATTAGGAAATATGTCTACTCAATGTCAGGGCCCCAGCTGCTTTCTTGCCTGCAGAACAGGTGAGAACCACTACCCCCTCCTTTTCTTCTTTCCCTTCCCCTCCCCCTCTCCTTCCTCCTTCCAGGCCTATAGGTTCTGCCTTCTGGGACTCACTCCCATCTGTGCTCCTGAAACACAAGGAAAGACTCTTTCCAGCAGTGGCTGGGATTCTTCAAAGCCTTCCCCTCTGTTTCCTACCAGCTCAACTCTCCACGTCTGCATGGTGTCTCGGGCCTCCCAAAGGCTGGCCTCTGTCCACCTTCCCAGCCACAGCATCCTGCAGGGGTGGGGGGGGAAATCCCCAAAGCTCCTCAAGAGAGATAGGTAGGTTCTCTCTCCCACCGCTAAAGTCCTGGAAACAACTTTTCCCCCATCAAGGTTCCCTGCAATCCCTAGATGGCTGAGACCTTCCTCCCCAGACAATGATTAAGTTCCAAAGTGTCCAATTCCTGGCCACAAATGGCCAGCTGAAATGGTAACCATGTCACCTGTGCATGAAAGCGAGTACTGGGGCCCAAAGCTCCAGACGCTATTGGCTGCCACAACACCATAACCGGTGTGGAGGATCTTAAAATGCCATTATCAGTGGCTGCACTGTAGAGCCAGTGGGGAGGGTGAGCTGTTTAACCAAAATAAGGGCCTCTCTATGGAAACAATCAATTTAGAAAACCCCAGCTCACGTGCACCCTGTTGGCTCCCCCCCTCCACCCCCCCCCCCGTCTTGTCACCGATCCCTGAATTCCTACATTCTCAGTGAAGATGTCCCACTTGCTCCCCAACCCTAGCATCAGGTATGTGCCCACGTCCCCTGCAAACTCGAGGGTGGGGAGCACAGCTGGTCAGTCCGTTTGCAAGGCGGAAACTCAACAGACCCAAAGTCCCAAACATTTCTTGGTGCTTGAGAGTTTTCCTGAAGTAATCTTTACCTGCAGAACAGGGAGATCCCGCCCCACGAAAGGCAGGCAAGCTAAAGCAAGCGGGGAGGATTCCCTCCTCCGCCTTCATCTTCCCCGGGGACCACAATCGCCCCGCGGGAGGCTCGGACCCGCACCCGCAGCCTCCTCGCCACGCGTCCCACAGACCCCCGCGGAGTGGGACACAGCGCGGGAGCGGCCGCTCCGCCCCCTTCCCCCCAAATCCGAGCTTCCGGGACCCGCCAGCCCGTCCTGGAGACGCGGGGGTCAGAGGACGCATTCTTCGCGTCGTCTCCCCTTTCCCCCAGGACACCATGAGCGCAGTGAGCAGCGTGTGGGACCCGGAGAGGGTGGACGGGAGGCCCAGCGAGCGAGGGGACCGGACTTGGGGCCCACACCCCAGCCCGGGGCGCCGGCTCCGGGGAGGGAGCCCCTCCCCCTTCCGCTCCCGAGCCCCGCCCGGCCTCCGGGCCCTGAGGCACCGCCGTCCCGAGATTAGGAAGGCATACGAAGAGGCCGGCGGGAGGAGACACTTACTTAAGACACTACATAGTTTCACTCCCAGCCCACCTCTGGACTGCGGCCGCACCTCCTGAAGCCTCGGCTGGGATCCCACACTGCCCACCACCCGTGTGCGGCGACTCACCCCACAACCCACCCCTTTACTCCGCCCGTTGGGCGGTGCCTCGCCCCAAGAGCCTGCCGTTAGACCAATCAGCGGCTACTTTTCTCCAGAGTGACATGTTCGCAAAGCAATCATTGAGTCCGGCCCAGCCAGGGGTGGGTCTCAGGCGATTCAAAGCACTTCCTACTCGGGCAAGCCCCGCCCAGAGCTACAGATTGCGCATGCTCAGAAAGCTAGGGGCGGGGCCTAGGGCCCGTTCTGACACTAGGGGTGGGGTCCAAGCTCAGTGGTTGTAAGGAGGCTGAACCACGTTGGGAAAGGAGAACCCCACTCGGGAACCGTCCGGCGCGGCGGGTCGCCTTTCGGTGCTCGCTTTGCAGGACGAAGATGCCCAGTCCTACAAAGCGCACCACTCTGTTGTCGACAGTGTCTTGGAGTCAGCGTCCTTGGGTTCTAAATCCCCTCACTTGCATGGACTTCGCATGAACTAAGCCCTCTTTTTATGTTGAGTCTCAGTTTCCTCATCTGCAAAATTGGCCAAGGTTGTTGCATCTGCCGAGCGCTAACATTGCAGAACTGTAATGGGGTGCAGGAGAGCGATAGATGGGAAACCCACACGTGACCTCAATCCACAGGGCCCCGCCTACCGCGGGTCTGGAGGGGGTTAAAGCACCCTGAGAGGGAGGGGGTGGATGGGCGGGGCCTAGGGAACCCGACTCCACCGCCCTTGGCAGCGCCTGAGGCGCAGCGCTAGGATTTGCGCCCCGCTAGCCATGGACTCAGGGATGGGGACAGCACCCCGGGCTTGGCAGGTAGACACCATGGAGGCTTGGATCGTGTAGAGAGACAAGGCGTGTAACTCAGGGCGCATCTGGGAAGAATGGACGAGCGGATGGGAGGCCGCTAATAGGGCTCCCTCTCCGCGCCGGCGCTCCTTCGCTGGTCTCTGGCTAGCTCCATCGACGGCCGCTACAACACCGAGCGAGTGACGAGCCATGGGGAGCGTTCGCGCCGCGCTGCCCAAGGCTGGCATTGGCTCTGGCCGCATCCTTGGGGCGCGGAGAGCGTGAGAGGAGCGCACCATCATGGCCAAGGAGGAATGCAAGGCGCTGCTGGACGAGCTCAACAAGACGACCGCGTGCTACCACCACTTGGTGCTGACGGTCGGCGGCTCGGCGGACTCGCAGAATCTGCGGGAGGAGCTGCAGAAGACGCGCCAAAAGGCGCGGGAGCTGGCGGTGGCCACCGGTTCCCGGCTGACGGTGGCGCTGCGCGACCGGGGCCTGGCCGCCGAGGAGCGCGCGGAGTTTGAGCGACTGTGGGTGGCTTTTTCCGGCTGCCTGGATCTGCTGGAAGCTGACATGCAGCGCGCGCTGGCGCTGGGCGCCGCGTTCCCGTTGCACGCGCCGCGGCGGCCGCTGGTGCGCACCGGGGTGGCGGGCGGCTCGTCGCGCGTGGCGGCGCGCGCCCTGAGCGCACGCAGCCTGCGCCACGAGGCGGAGTGCGACTTCGACGTCGCAGATCTGCCCGAATTGGAGCGTGAGGTTCTTCAGGTGGGCGAGATGATCCACGACATGGAAATGAAGGTCAACGTGCCGCGCTGGACAGTGCAAGCCCGGCAGGCGGCGGGAGCCGAACTCCTGTCCAGTGCCAGCACGGGCGTCTCCTCGGCAGTAGTGGAGCGCGCGGGGCCCTGCGACCCCAGCAAGGCTCTGGCAGCCACTGTTTTCAGCGCCGTTCTGCTGGTGGCTGTGGCTCTGGCCTTGTGCGTGGCAAAGCTGAGCTGACCGACACCCGACGGTCACCTGCCACCGCCCACGCCCCTTTCCTGGGATGGGCTTGGGGTTTGGCCTGTTAAGGGAAGCCGCACTAAACCCTGTGTGTGCATGTGTGTACACGCGCGTTTTAAACACACCCCTGCCTGGGCACGACATGGTTTTCTCTTGCTGGCCGAGGAAGAGTTAACTATGCGCGCCGGCGGGCATTACCGCTAATGCCTGCGAGAGCTTTAGCCCCTATTAATAGAAAATGGCCCACGATGACCCCAGGTCCCTCCGAGCTCATGTGTTAACATGTGTGCTATTGGGGCATCTTAATGCAGAGTGCAAATTTGGTGCCCCTACCTCGGTGTCTCCCGCTCTTTGCACGGGACAGTTTGAAAGAGAGGATGGGGTAGAATGAAGCACGGAGAGAGGAGTTATTTTCTGGACAAGAAACAAATAGTAAGATGTGTGCAGTTCTTATTACCTTGATCCTTTGGGGCCTAAATTTAAGGGCGCATACAGACAGAGTTCCTTCAAAGTGCTTTTTGTATGGCACACTATTGCACTTCTGGGTAGTTTATCCATTAGTCACCAAATAGGGCTACAAGAGGTTTAGGTTGTGACCCTATTTAGGAAAGGAAAGAAGGCAACTCAACCCACCATTGTGGGATTGGGTCCACTGCACACATTGGCCTGCCCAGGGCTCTCCCTATCCAGCCACGGATGGGGAGGGAAAGCACCAGGAGGCTTGGGGAAAAGCCACACTTTCTCCTTCCCAGGGGTTATTTCATTCCAGAACTAGATCAGAGTGTTTGATCCTCCTTTGAGGCAAGGGCAGGGGAATCCTCTTTGGAGTACTTAATCCCATCAATCCCCCCTGGAATTTGCGTGCTGGCCAATAGGAGAGCTGGCTTTATAGGGAGCTGGTCAGCTGACCAGCTCCATGACTCCAACACTGCCTGGAGAGGGCAACTGGCATTCCTGGCCCACAGAGGCTGTGCACAATCAGCTCTGAGTCCGGGTTGGAATGTAATAGCTTTAGTTTGGAATTTAGGAACCTTTAAAAAAAATAATAGTACTCTTAAAGAAGAATGACACCAGGTTATGTGCTATCATCCAAGCTATTTTTTTAATAAAGGACATTGGGCCACGAATTCATACGTGCCAATGAGTCAAACATGTACACTTAGCTTATGAACTATACATCTGCATCTGTTTTTAAAATCTGTATCCTTCGATATAGATTGAATTTTGAGATTATAATGACTACTGGAATCCCAGGTGTAGAAAACAGAAGAGCCCCCTTCATCCTTTGATCCACATCTAAGGAAATGTGGAAAACAGCCTTGGTTTTAGGTGGGAATTTGTGGGCATAATTACTGCCACCTCCCAATGGGGTCCAAAGAGGACTCTGTCACATTCTTGGGGAAGTAAGGCTGAGAAAATGGGATGCATTTACTTTGTCTGTTTGTTCATTTGTTTTGACACAGGGTCTCCCTCACTATATAGCCTAGGCAAGGCTTGAATGCACTATGTTGCCCAGGCTGGTGTGGAAACTTGACATCCTCCTGCCTCAGTCTCCCTAGTGTTGGGATTACAGGTATGCAACACCACTCTCAGCTCAGATGCATTTAACTTTCTAAAGGTGATTTGGAATGAAACTTAGAGATTTTGGTTTGGCTGGAAACTGACAAGAATTTTTTTTCCTTTTTTCACTTTTACCCCTAAAGTGAGAAAGAGGACCAGGCAGGGGGAAGTGGCAGTTTTCCACAAGGGCAGCTTGGAGGTCAGGAGCAGAAGCAAATAAAGACAGGATTGGTGTCTGGGCACCCAGTCCTAAAATCCATTCCTCATCTTTCCCTTAGCCCACACCCCCTCCTCAGCACAGATTCAAGAGCCTTGGTGAGGGAAACACAGAATCTCTGTGTCTCTGTGGTCATGCTCTGAAAAGACCCACCCTTCAAGATAGACAGTTACTAATAAGACGAACCCCTGCCTCCTCCAGTCTAGGCGAGTCTGCATAGGAGCCACTTCCAAATCTCTTGCACCTGCCATCCCAGGATGTCTTTGAAGATGACAAGAAAGATTACAACTGCCTCTCTCATATGTACAATATGGAGTTCCTGTCATCTCCAAGACTCATCTCAAGCAAGGAGTCTCCCGGTGTTGGAAAATCTCCCTGAAAACCAAGCCCCAAAGATATTTTGCTGTTTCTAAGACTGAGACCCTCTGTTCTTATCAAGCAGAGCTTATCAAGGAAACAACCCAGTCTAGTGTCCGTCCAGCTCACACCTGTAATCCTAGCTACTTGGGAGGCAAAGATCAGCAGGATCTTGGTTAAGGCCAGCTCAGGCAAATAGTTTGTGAGACCCTATCCCAAAAATCACACACACACACACACACACACACACACACACACACACACACACACATAAAGGCTGTTGGAGTGGCTCAGGTGGTAGAGTGCCTGCCTAGCAAGCATGAGGTCCTGAGTTCAAACTTCAGTACCTCCAAAAAAAAAAGAAAAAAAAAAAAACAGCCCATTGAATGTTGGATAACCAGTGAGAGTGAGTAAATGGGAAGTTCTTTGCATATTTAATTATCTGTGCAATCACACGTGTACCCGATTCTGCAAGCCCACTGCTACTGATATTAGTGATAAATTGTTACAGAATGAAAAACCTGTTATAATAAACATACTCATCCTGTTTACTGGTTGCTTAAATAACGCTGATTTTTGAAATTTTAACCATTAGGAGTATTCAGAGTTCTAACATTGTCTGGTAGAACTTTTGTTACTTGACACAAGCAAAATCACTTTCTGCCTTGTGCAATTGGCTGCTTTCTCACATTATCTCTGCTCTCATTTGTGTATATATATTTCAAGCTTTCTAATAGAAGCCTGATTCAGTTTAGATGTTAGATACTGAAGTCACTAATTTTCTGTTAACATTTGGCATGATGTTATATCATGATACAAAGTGGGCAAAAAAACTCAAGACACACTAGCTGACATTGAAAAGACAAGAACTTGCCATGTCAAGACACTTAGCATGGAAACTTTTTTTCAAGAAGAATAAGTTCTGAGTTATTGCTATTGGTAAACTAGTAATTATTATAATCGTAATATTTGTAGGAGGAAAAAAATGCCTGGTGAAGTTTTTGTGTGTTTCAAAAAGTTATGCTTTTAAATGCCACAAGGGAAAAATGTTTCTGGTAAATCAGAGGATAAACTTCCTGATTTACCTAAGGTTTACAGTAAGCTGCATGGAAGATGTGTGACATTAAATAATTTAAAAGTGTATGATGCCGAGTGGCTAAAAAAGTAGTTTTGATGGAAGACAGCCCCAGTTTGCCTGAAGATTCTGCGAATGCTGTGTTTTCCCCAATGTGCACATTGGTCTGATTTTAGCTACTCAGGTCCTTCTGTGTTCTGTAATGAATGCTTTGTAAAGGTATGAGCCCATGTGACAACCTGAGAAATAAAACATTGTACCCTCTGCACCCCTTTGGGGTGTGCCTCCTCCCTCGGGGGCTGGCCAGCTGTGAGGGGCAGAGAACTCTGCCTTTGTCCAGGTACCTCAACTCATGGACCTTCCTGTGCCTCTTTGTGAAATGGGGGTCTTGACTGATTACCCAAAGATCCCTTCTGGAGCTTATAAAGTTTAACAGAATACAGTGAAGTGAGAGTTATTTTGTTAGTTGGTTTGGTTTGGGGTGTTTTGGTTTGTTAGTTGGTTTTGTGTGTATTGGAATACAATCAAATAGTTTAGTGGTTATTGTATGAAATGAATAAAAAAATTAATAAAAATTACTTTAAACTCCATATTCATTTTAAAATCATAATTAACTAAGCTTAGTGTGATTTTACTGCACATCAGAACTAATGGAGGAGTGGCTGCATAGCAAGTATGAGGCCCTGAGTTCAAACACCAGTGCCACCGAAAAAGAAAAAAAAAAAAAGGAATGGATGAATGGACTTAAAAAAAAAGCAAGGTGGGGCTAAGCACTGGTGGCTTATGTCTATAATCCTAGGTACTCAGGAGGCAGACATCAAAAGAATCATGGTTCACATCCAGCTGGGGCAAATAGTTCACGAGACCTTATCTTGAAAAATACCCAACATGAATCAGGGCTGGCTGAGTGGCTCAGGATTGGAGTACCTCTTAGCAAGTGTGAGGCCCTGAGTTCAAACCCCAGTACAACAACAACAAAAAAAGAAAGTTGGGGTATCTCAGTGGTAGCACACTTGCCCAGCATCTGCTAGGTCCTGGATTTCATCCCCAGCACTATAAAGAAACAAAAAGGTAAACGTGTGATTATGCTATTTATTTATAATAATGGGGGATTTAAATTTGCACTCTGAGTCCTCAGCATTTAATTGATCGTCTGTTTTGCCCAGCAACAGGCCACCTGAACAGATCTCTGGGAAACTGCAAATACAAACCCATTATTTGTTACAGAGGCTGGGAGAATGGGAACCTCAGGACTACACCTGCACAAGTTGACGACTATCAAGGGTTGTTTTGTTCATCAGATCTATGGTGGAATAAGGGCTTCATGTCTACTCTTTGAGTGACATTTTATGCTGACAGGTTCTAACCACAATGTTTATTAATAAGTAAAACCTTAATGATAATATACAGTACTTATTACTGAGCAAGGCACCCTCAAAGGACTCAGTTAGCAACTTATGATTGTAAAACAAAATTCTTTGTTTTCTGCACCTGCAGAAAATTGGGATGAAAGTGAGCATCTCAGTCTGTAGTCACCCTTCCCAGATTTAAGTGCACAAAGAGATGTTCAGAAATACTTCTGGACTATAAATCTCCAGGTGTGTCTTCTATGATAAGTTACACTGAGCTCTTAATGCAGGAAGGAATCTGACAGTAGGTCTCTACGTGAAAGATCATTGGCTGTGCTCAATACAGATAGAAGTCAGATTTCAAATTCTGTTTCTTCTGGCTCTCAGGAATGAACCAAAGATAGATGTTATAGCCCCGTGTCTGTGAGGACCAGAGGTAGTTCCTTCTTTTCCATCTCATCCCATCAAGATTCTGAGTGTTCTCATTGTGGTACTATGAGCTCTTCAGTGTCCTCAATCTTTGGTGTTTAAGTTGAGAACTTTAAAACCTTAAGGCAACTGGGTGCCAGTGGCTCACACCTGTAATCCCAGCTACTCAGGAGGTGGAGATCAGGAGGATCACAGTTTGAAGCCAGCCCTATCTCAAAAACAACCCCATCACAGAAAAGCACATGAGGAGTGGCTCAAGGTGCAGGCCCTAAGTTCAAACCCCAGTGCCAGCAAAAAATAACTAAAACCTTAAAGCTTATATTGCCTATGTACAAATGCTAAATGATACCTCCTGCTGTGAAATGATTTTATTTAGAGTCCTTTCACTATTCTGGTATCAGAAAGCAAAGCTGAGTATCTTCTGCATGTACATATGTATCAGGTATGTGGAAATCTACAAAGAAACATATAGAAATATGTACTCATTAAGGTGGGGACATTATGAATGGCATATTTTTTAAGTCGTTACATTGTTTTTACAATAAAATTTTAAGTGTTCATCAGCTAGAAAATGTTATTCTGTCATTAAAATGTAAATTTTAAAACTCAGGATCTCAAGTGTGAAAAGAAAAAATTTTGGCACCTCTCCCTCCCAAAAAACAAAGAAAAACGAGGGTCAGAAGCAATGTTTTCAAGTGTGCTGCCCTGATGTTATTATTTGTCATACTGTGTTAATAAAAGTCCTAAAAATGGGCAAAAACAACGAAATATATGAAAACTTCTAACTTTCTAGATAAAATCTGCTAAAAATCGATTTGAAGGTTAAAGCTAGATATACTTGTCAAAATGAGAGAAGGTGGCTGGGCATGGTGGCTCACGCCTGTAATCCTAACTACTCAGGAGGCAGAGATCAGGAGGACTGTGGTTCAAAGCCAGCCCAGGCAAACAACAAATTGAGGTTCCCACTTTAGGTTTAAGGAAGTTAGCATTCTCAAGTTGGAGTCACTTTTATGTCAAACCCTAACAAAATGGAGCTGGAGGCCATGAAGGAAGACCCCTGACCTGTGCGTCCAATGGGAACTTATGCAAGAGAGTCCTCAGAGCTGCAGGGTTCCAGGTAAGCAAAGGTGTCTAACAATGGTGGCTCCACCAATGGGTTAACATGCCCTGGCAGAAAGGCCTGTGACCAATGTGTGTGTTCCATGATGGCTTATGTGGACTTGTCATGTTTAAAAGCTTTCCCTTGCTAGGTGCTGGTATTTACACCTGTAATCCTACCTTCTCAGGAGGTGGAGATCAGGAGGATCACGGTTCAAAGCCAGCCCTGGCAAATAGTTCACAAGACCCTATCTTGAAAAAACACCTAACAAAAAAAGGTTCAAGGTGTAGGCCCTGAGTTCAAGCTCCAGTACCACAAAAAAAAAAAAAAAAAGCACCTATGTTCCACCAAAGTACACATATCCTGAATCTGAATTCCCTGTGTGATGATTAATTTTGGGGTGTGTAACCCTGGGGAATGAACCCAGAGCCTTGTACACACCGGCCACATGTTCTACCACTGAGCTAACCCCAACCCCTGTTAATGGTTAATTTTGGTTGTCCACGTGACTACATTGAGGGACACCTAGAAAATTGGTAAAACATACTTTGAGGTGTGTCTGTAACAGGGCTTGTACAGAGGTTTGAGGTGTGGGCCAAAGAGTGGAACATTCATCCTGAACACGGACAGCACCATCCCACAGGCTGGGGCCCAGATGGATGGGAAGTGGAGGAAGGGGAAGTTCAACGGTGCCTGCCCTGGGCCCTTCTTGAGCAGGTGCACCTTTTGGTGCTTCTGTTGCCCTGTGGATGTCAAAGTCCAGATTCTTGAGCTGGATCTGAACTGCAGACTTGCACAAGCAATTTTCCATTGGGTGCATCACTGGTTTTCCAGAACTGAGCAGTCCTAGTTTCTATGGCTCCCAGCGTGTCGGATGGCCATCCTGCCATTGTGGGACTATCTGATCCTCTGATGGTGTAAAGCAGTCTAAATAAATCCCTCTGCTAATTCTCTGTATTCTGTTGGTTCTGTTGCTCTAGAGAACCTGAGCTAATACACCCTAAATAGATCCTTTGCTTTGGAGCAGTTCTGTCACCCACTTTATGTTGACAGGTTCAATAATTTACTAGAAGTATCAGAACTCAGGCAAATACCTTACTGCCATTTACCAGTTTACTATAAGGGATATGATGGGCATAGATGGACAGTCAGATAGAGAGATGGACAAGGCAAGGTATGGCAGGGCACAGAGCTTGCATTCCCTCTTTGGGGGTCCCCATCTCCCTGTGTCTGCATGGGGTCAACAACTCAGAAGCTCATCAAATCTCTTGTTACAGAGAGATGGTTGTTGTTGTTGTACTGAGGTTTAAACTCAGGGTCTATACCTTGAGCCACTCCACCAGCCCTTTTTTGTGAAGGGTTTTTTCAAGATAGGGTCTTGCAAACCATTTGCCTGGGCTGGCTTCAAACTGTGATCCTCCTGATCTTTGCCTCTTGAGTAGCTAGGATTGTAGGCATGAGTCACTGGTGCCCAGATGTTTTGCTTTTTTGAGACAGTCTTGCTATGTATCCTAGGCTGGCCTCAAGTTTACAATCTCCTTGACTCAGCCTCCCGAGTGCTACGATTACAGGTGTGTGTTGCCATTCTGAAAGTCAAGTTCATTAAGTATAATTTAAGCGCAGTGAAATTCAGTCTTTTAGGGTGTGCCATTTGGAGTTTGGACAAAGTACCCCTTTACACATGGGGATATGTTCCAAGACTCCTAGTAGTGTCACTGGTGGTTGGGGAGTTCCAAATGTTCCTCAGTTCTTGTGCACAACGTCTAAGATGAGAACACTGCTCCAGGTGCAGGAAAAAAACTCAGGAAGAGTAGGAAGACAGCAAGTGCTGATTTATTAGCGATGCGGGATTATACCTTGAGCGGTGAGGTGGGCAACTCAGGTAAGGACCACTCAGGTAAGGACCAGCTGAAGTCCTTCAGCTGTTGAGCTTTTTATCCAACAGGGTGGAGTTACCAGGAGGGGCTCTCCTTGTAGCCCCTCCCCAATGGTTTGAAAACTGCACAATGTCTGCTCAAATGTGTGACTGCACAGCCTGTGCATTTGATTGTCTTTGCCTTGCCAGTTGGAAGGTCAGTCACTAAGATGGTTGACCCAGGTGTGTGTCCTCTGGAGTTCTAGCATGTTATCTTGTAGCCCAGGGCATTTTCATGCTCCTGTTTATGCCTACCTAGGTGCCTCTGCCTAAAAGTAGCAAGCACTATGTATACTATTGCTTTTTCTATGCATACATTGCTATGTTAGAGATTAACCCACTGTACCCGCCTTTCTTGTGATGATGTGAGGTGAAACAATGTCTTAAGTGAGAGGCAGTGAGGCGAATGGCGTCACTAGTATGTAAGATTACTTTAACACAAGCACTGCAATAGTGTGACAGAGCACTAGGAGGATACCAGGAGAGCAGCCTATACAGTGTGAATACTAGACAAGGGGGTGGTTCACATCCGCACGAAGTTAGGGCCACGCAAGTTATGATCACCTTAAAACAAGACATAATTTAAAGCTTAGAATTGTTTGTTTCTGGAATTTTCCATTTAATGTTGACTGTGGTTGACTTTCAGTAACTGAAACCACAGAAAGTGGAACGTAGGATAAGCGGGTATGTTAGTCGGCTTTCTCTCACTATAACATACCTGAGATAATTAACTAATAAGAGTTTTATTTAGCTCGGTTTTTGGAGGTTCCCATTGCTCTGGCCTCTGATGGGGGTGTCCTGTAGCAGTAGGGAGCCACAGCAAACTATTCACCAGCAGGAAGCAAACAAGAAAGATCCAAGTCTCCAGTGACCTGAGGACCTCTCACTAGACCCCACCTTTCACAGGTTCCAACATCTCCCAACAGCACCATTCTGGGGACAATCCTCTACTTGACACGCCTTGGGGGACATTCGAGGTTCAAACTGTAGTAATTAGGGATTAGCGTCATGCACGCATTACCACAACCAATGTACAGAGTGTCTCCATCATCCTTACAATGTTACCCTTACCTTTTGTAGGGTCCTTTTCTTCTTCCAGGCTCTGGTGAACACTGATTTCTCTCCCTAGAGTTTTGTCTTTTCCAGAATGTCATTATCCAAACACCAAATTACAACAAATTTGGTTAGAGATATAGTTGCCTTTTGTGATTCCTGAATCAGGGAAAGCCTCCGTTTTTATAAAACAGAATGAGAGCTCCCACTGGGCAACAGTAGATTTTGAAAGGTAGGAACAGGTAACGGAACAGGTTGACATCAGATCGTTCCAGGTTACCTTCCGTAAGGGTTAAAGCAGAGGCAAATGCCTCACTATGTGGACTCAGGCTGGAATCTCCCATTTTCAGGAAAAACTGATCTGTTTGGGGATTTTTCTGTTTTCTTCAAGGGTCAGTTTGATTTTGTAGTATTTAGCATGAGTGGTTCCATTCTGGTTTGGTCTGGTCTGTTGGGCCTGATGCAGGAGCTCAGTTCAAAACAGTGACTGAAAACTTTTGTTATCATATCATATAAATGGAATCCTTACATTTGAGAAAGCAATGTTGTGAACCTATGTTAGTGTATTTCCCATTGCTGTAACAAAATTCCCAAGGCTGGGTACTTTATAAAGAAAAGAAGTATGTTTAGTTCACAATTTTGGAGGCTCATAATTCACGATCAGGCAGGCCCATTTGCCTCTGGGAAGGGCCCTGTTAGTTGTTTGTGTTCCTTCATGGAAGAGGGAAGATGGAGAGATCCCATGGCAAGACAGGAAGCCAACGAGCAGGGAGGAGTCCTACTCTTTCCTTTATATCAACACACTGTCTGGGAAACTAACTGGAGTTCCACAAGAACTTCCTTTATCTCTTCTGAGGGCCTTGCCCCCAGTGACATAACCACTGCCAACTAGGCCCCATCTCTTGAAGGTTACAGCACCTCCAAAATTGCCAAACAGAGGACCAAGTTTTTACCCAGAAGCCCTAGGGGGACACACTCAAACCATATCCAAACCATTCCAGAACCTTCTTAAAACTCTTCTTTAAAAACAAGTGAGCCGGGTATGGTGGAGCACTCCTGTAATCCCAGTGCTCAGGAGGTGTAGGAAGAATCTGGAGTTTAAGGTCAGGCTGGGATACACAGTAACTGAGACCAGCCTGGGCTACAAAGCAAGACCCTGTCTCAAAAACCAAACTAAAACTAAAACAAAATAAACACATTATGAGAAGTAATTTTCGTGGGAGGAGTTTTGGAGTATGGGATGTTACTGGTCGTTCATGAGTGAATTTTGCTTATCCCATGGCATGCCCTGCTTTTCAGGGAGGTTAAACCAACTCATCTGTGACTGCAGGTCTCCACGCTAAAGTCTCTCTGTGGCTAGACCTACGGATCACGTTTTCTCTTTTTTTTACAAATTAAAAAACTTGAAAAATAATGAGTAACAGAAATGTGCTTTACTTGGTGACCTTGAGGTTAAAATAAAGCTCAATTGTTGGGAACTAAGTAAACAGCAGCATGACCTGCTTGCAAAGTTTTTCTGTTTTCCTTACAGGGTTATGTTCTAACAAATAAGGATCAACAGCTCTGCGGACTGGGGAGTCACATAGGTCCTTTTACACCCCAGCCTTTCCCCTAGGAAATTAATACCTTGGAATCTGGCTCAGGAATTCGTTACTCATTAACATGGTTCCTGTGAACTTGCAAAGCTCTGACACCTGTTCGTGGAACCTCCCCACGGCCCAAAGCAAACGCTCCCAAGTCCACTCCTGCTTAGGGACAGAAAGTCCTACCCCTTGCTGGGGACTGATTCCTGGAAGAGACTACCAGTCTAAGGTTTGCATTCCGTTTTCACTTGGCAGGTCAAGCGCACCCTTCAGCATTCCAGCTCTCGGTCCACGTGCCCTGAGCGGGGAATGATGCAGTAATCAGGGCTTGCTGGCAGCTGTGACAGCCCAGGGCTGGCCCTGCCAGCACCGGGGGGCGGCACCTGCTTGTCACGTGCTGCGCGTCAGGCTCCTCCCACAGACAGAAATCACTTCCGGCTAAGGCTGCACCAGCCAGGCTCACCGGTCACTGAATTCAAATCCCGGCAGGGACTCCGAGGTCGCTGCAAAGCCCACGGGCGGTGCAGGATCTCCTGCAGCAGCAGCAGCGCGACCCGAGCCCCGAACCCGAGATCCGCGCGCTGCTCCCGCCATGGGCAGTCATCTACCGCAAGGCCCGAGCATCTGGCGCCAGGCGGCCTCCGTCGTGCTGGCGGCCGGCTGGACACGCGCGGGCACCGCCGCCGCCCCGTCGTCGCCTCCGCCACCTGCCAAGGACTTCCGGCTGCTGATGCTAAAACGGGCCGCCAGCCAGGGCTTCATGCCCGGCGCCTACGTCTTCCCGGGCGGCGTTGTGGACGCGGCTGACCGCTCGGACGACTGGCTGCGCCTCTTCGCGCCGCGACAAGGCCCGCCGCACTTCGGCTTGAAACCCGCGCCGCGCCCGCGAGCCGCTTTCCCCGACGTCGCGCCCGCGCCCGACGCAGGGGCGCTGCCTGATGACGTAGCGCGCCGCATCTGCGCGGTCCGCGAGGCCTTTGAAGAGGCGGGCGTGCTCTTGCTGCGGCCCCGGTCGGCCCCCGAGCCCGCGGGCCCCACCCGGCAGCTCACCTGTGCCTTCCAGCCGCCGTCCGGCCTGGCCGCCTGGCGCGCGCGCGTCCGCAGCGACCCGCGCGAGTTCCTGCAGCTGTGCGCGCACCTGGACTGCACGCCCAACATCTGGGCGCTGCACGACTGGAGCGGCTGGGTCACGCCCTTCGCGCGCTCGTCGCCAGGCCGCCGCTTCGACACCACCTTCTACCTGTGCTGCCTCTGCCAGCCGCCGCCCGTCGACCCCGACAATGCCGAGGTGGTGGATTCCCAGGTAGGGCATCCTCGGGCCATGAGCTGGGACCGCAGAGATGTGAGAAGGGGGACCCGACCCTGGCCCGCCGTCCAGGGTCGTTCCGGGACCGCCAGTGTAGGCTGGATACAGTGATAGGCAAGAAATGACGGTGGGCTTGGGACCCTTCGGGTGCAGCTCTCACTCCTGCAGGCTAGAGCCATGGCCCTGGTGGAGGGCTCCTGCGGACAGTACTGATTAAGCTCCGAGTGACGTCAGACTTGGGCTCTGACAGATGCAGCCCTCGCCCCTGCAGGTCAGAGCCGTGGTCTTGGTGGAAGGTTCACTGGACCATACTGATTAGGCTACAAGTGACTCAGTGGACTTGGGACCTAACAGGTGTGGCCCTCACCCCTGCACGACAAAGCCTCGACCTTGGTGGAGGGTTCATTGGACTGTAGTGGTTAGGGTATAAGTGACTGAACTGAGCCATGATCTTGTTTGAGGGCTTATAATCTAATAGTGATTAAGAGTCTAAGTGACAGCAGCCTTGGGACCCACCCGGCGTGGTCCTCACTTCTGCAGGCCACAGCCTTGATCTTGCTAGAGGGTTCACTGGACTCTAGTGATCGGGCTGTAAGTGACCCAGTGGGCTTGGAACCCGACAGGTTTGGCCCTCACCTCTGCAGGCCAAAGCCATGGCCTTGGTGGAGGGCTCATGGGGACAGTACTGATTAGGCAGCAAGTGACAGTGGACTTGGGGCTGGGCAGGTGTAGCCCTCACCCATGCAAGCAAAAGCCAATTCCTTGGTGGAGGACTTTCAGGGACTGTAAGTGACACTGGGCTTGGGTTTCCATACATGCAGCCCTCACCCCTGCAGGCCAAACACCCTGGAAGAGCTTTTGAAATTTAATCTTTCTGGCAGTACTGGGATTTGAACTTAGGGCCTCACACTTGTGAGGCTTGCAGTCTACCACCTGAGCCATACCTCCAGCTGGGAATTTTATCTTAAAGCTTGCAGGTCCTTGTTCTCAAGAATGGTCTTTTACCATGGCAGCACCTTGTGTGTGTGTGTGTGTGCGCAGATGGGTGTTAGAAAAAATTGAAGGACTTTCCATGTGGACTTCTGGGGCTCCATTCTGTGTCAATCCTTCTCCCAGGCACACTGCTTTCCACACGCTAGCCGGTGGGGGGTGTTCCATATTCTGATCTCTGTCCCCTTAAGAATCCCAAATGCTGATTCAGTTCTTCCTGTGCTAAGATCTGTAAATAAGTTCTAGATAGAAACTCTAGGCAGTGGTAGGGCTCCCCTCTTTCTTTTTTCTTTCCTCAGAAATGATAGTTCTGTGTTTTTCTGGAAATTCTTGTTTCATAGATTTATCCAGGTTTCTGTTATTTACATGGGGAAGGCTCTCATTGAGTGCTCATGGCTGGAAAAGGAAGTTCCACACTTTTTTCTGCAGCACTGGGGTTTGAACTCAGGGCCTATACTTTGAGCCAGTCCACCAGCCTTTTATCATAATGGGTTTTTTTCGAAATTAGGGTCTCATGAACTATTTGCCCGGGCTGGCTTTGAAACATGATCCTCCTGATCTCTGCCTCCTGAGTAGCTAGGATTACAGGCATGAGCTACCACGCCTGGTCATTTTGAGTTAACTTTTATATGGTATAAGGTAAAGTCTAACTTCTCTCTCTCTCTTTTTTTGCATGTGGATATCCAGTTTGTCCAGTTTTTTCTGGAATAACCTGTGCAGGTTGGACTGAGAGGTCTGATACCTGTCACCTTACCCTTTATCTTGGCTATTCCAACTGAGGAAGCAGAAGGCTGTGCATGTACCTTAAAGACACTGGTACCTTTGAGACCCAGAGCTTTGATTCTCAAAATGTAGCCTTGGCCAACCTCAGAATGACGGAGTGTCTGTCAAACTCAGATCAGTGGGCCCATACCAGAGTCAAGGAATGCAAGTGTTTACCAGGCTTCTGGAGGGCGGCTGTTCAAGCATACACAAGCTCGTACACTATCTGTGGCAGAAATCAACACTGTGGGCTTGGGGTGGGGCGTTGCGTGTGTCAGAAAAACCCAGTCCTGGTGTACCAGAACTGGCCAGGTGGAAGGTGCCAAAAGATCAAAGAAAAGGGCAGATTGCGAAGTGCACTTTATTAAGGACTTGCAGGGCTGGGCATAGCTCAAGTGGTACACGGGGGCCCTGGGTCCTGTCCTCAGTTCCACAAAAATAAAATAAAAAGGGCTTCTAAACATGAGTGTGACTTGGACAGCAGCAGAACAAGAAGATCCCAGCCCTGAGGCAAGAGGACCTTCTATTCTGACCTACACAGTGGGCTCCTGTCCCACTGGCAAGCAACTGGGCTTCCTCAGAAACTTCCAACAAGTCAAATGTCAGTTAAACAGTCCTCAGCGGCTAGCACAGAACTCTAGGCTTTCTTCTTTTTAAATTTTATAAAATAATGGGATTCATTAATGACATCTTTGTTCATGTATACAATGTACTTTGACCACATTTAACTGCCATTGCCCTCTGTGTTTCCCCTCCACCCTCCCACTGGTGCCTTCACCCCCAAATAACAAATAGTCCCCTCCGTATGTTCATGTCTTTTTGTTTTGAAGTCTCAATTCCACATATGAGAGAAAAATACGTGCTATTTGTCTTTCAGATCTGGCTCACTTTGCTTAACATGACGCTGTCCAGTTCCACTCACTTTCCTGCAAATGACATAATTGCACTGTTCTTTATAGCAGAGTAATAGTTCATTGTATATTACTCCATTTGCTTTGTCCATTTGTCCCTTGTTGGGCACCTGGGCTGATTCCATCCCTTGGCTCTTGTGACTAGTGCTGCTATAAACAGGGGTGTAGGTGTGTCTGTTGCATGCTGACTTGCATTCCATTGGGTATATGCCCAAGAGGGGCATAGCAGGGTCATCTGGTTGTTCTGTTTTTAGTTTTTTGAGGAACCTCCATACCAAATTCCATAGCAGCTACACTAATTTAAATTCATACCCACAGAGTATGCGGGGTTCTCCCCCATCCTTGCCAGTTTGTTGTTTGTGTTCTGGATGGTAGCCATTCTGACTGAGGTGAGATGGAGTCCCAGTGTTTTGATTTGTAGCTCCTTGATGGCTAAAGACGTTGAATATTTTTTAATGTATATTGGCAATTTGTACTTTTTTTTTTTGCAATACAGAGTTTGAACTTAGAGCCTTCGTCTTGAGCCACTCCATCAGCCCTATTTTTGTGATGGGTTTTTTCGAGTTAGGGTCTTGAGAACTACTTGCCAGGGCTGGCTTTGAACCGCAGTCTTCCTGATCTCTGCCTCCTCAGTAGCTAGGATTACAGGCATGAGCCACTGGCACCCAGCTTGTACTTCTTCTTTTGAGAACTATCTGTTCAATTTATATAAGGTTGACTGTTTTACAGGGTTTAGTATGTATGCCACAGTCACCTGGCAGGCAAAATGGCAGTTACAGCCCAGAAGACTATAATTGTGTCAAGTAGGATCTCTGCAGGGAACTCAGTTTCCCTTGGTGTTAGTGAACATTTAGTGATCCAGGTAAAGGGGCTTTTGGGTTAATTCCACATTCACCGAATTGCCTCTTGTATCATGGAATCTGGGGCAGGAGGGCAGTGGTAGCAGTGAGACCTGTCATCCAGTGGGCTCTACATTTACGAGGATCCCTGGACTGTGACTGGGCCATGCTCTTGACCCTCCTGAAAGCTCCACGGCTGCTGATTCTTTACCCTATTGTACATGTGTCTCACATTGCAATGCATTTTGGTGGCTAAAGACCCCATAGGGCCTAAGAGAACTTTGTCGGGTCCATCACGATGTCTTCAGGCCCAGCCAAGGTACATATCTATGGGGGAACTGAGGCGCACCATGCCTTCAGGTCTGCTGTGGAGTGTTGCCATGAGAGCCTTCCTCTTTGGGGACTGCACACGTTCTGTCTTTTCTGCTGACCAGTGTCTTAACCTTGGGGATCCATCCTGCTTACTTATTGGTCTGCAGGGCCAGTGTCTCAATAATGAACCCTTGAGAGGATCTTTGCAGATTTCTCCTCCCAACACTTTGTTTTCAAGCATATGTTTCACTGCGTTGCCCAGACTGGTCCCCTGGATTCAAGCGGTTCTTCTGCCTCAGCCTCCCAATTAGATGGGATTACAGGTGTGTGCCACTCTGAATCTTTTCATGTTATCTCGGGGATTTAGTAAGGCACTTTAATGAATTAATTTTACCTCTCTAAGTAGTGTCAAATCTTGGTAATGGAATAAACTTACGAAGCCCTCGCCTTTGTCTTCCACAGTGGTTATCTCCGTCAGAGGCAACTGAAAGCTTCATATCAAAAAAAATTTGGTTGCCACCTCCACAGTTCTATGAAGTAAGAAGACTTGAAAACTTTGCCTCTCTCTCTACCTTGCACAAATTTTGTTTGGATCATGCATCAGAAATATCTGAAAGATGGCTACCCATCACACTGGTCACTGCGGACTCAATGCTCCAGCTCTTGCCAGGTGACTCCAAGGAGCAGCGGTGCTCTGTCCGTACTGGAGCCAGTGCCTGGGTGGCCTGGAGGCATTGTTCAGTACAGACAAGGGTGATAGCCTAGCAGTACAGGTCAATGCCTATAAAATATCCATAGTGTTTATGATAACTAGAGTTCTGAATTTATAAGCCTATGTGTATACATTTATGTAAGTACATCTCTTAGACGTTGACAAAGTTCTTTCTCTTAAATTTTTTTTTTTCTTTTTTGTAGTACTGGGGTTTGAGCTCAGGGCCTACTTTACCAGCCCTTTTTTTGTGATAAGTATTTTTCAAGATGGGTCTCGTGAACTATTTGCTCAGGACTGACTTTGAACCACGATCCTCCTGATCTCTGCCTCCTGAGTAGCTAAGATTACAGGCATGAGCCACCAGCACCCCACAATTTTTTTTATTTTTATTTTTTTGTTTTTGAGACTGGGAACTGAACCCCGAGCCTTGCACTTTCTAGGCAGCTCTTTTGTTTTTATTCCGTTTTTGAGGCAAGATCCCACTAACTTTGCCCAGGCTGGCCTTGAGCCCAAGATCCTGCCTGCCTCCCTAAGTCGCTGGTACTTTAGGCCTGCCTCATACTTTCTAAGTTTTATTTTCAGTTATGAGAACTTGTAGCTGTCCATTATTTGAGTTAGGAAGTTTGTTGATAGTAAGTTGTAGTCAGGCAAGTGTGGGTTGGAGTTTTGCGGCAGGGACCATGTGACCTATCATACTTCAGTCCCTGATGATAGTAATAAGATTTGTTACTCAGCCTACAGGGGTGGTTTCGTTTCTTTAAATAACCTTAAGATGATTAGAGTAGCCTACATGGAAACATCAAAGGTGTGGATAGCAAGGCCAATATTAGTGTCAATATTGAGTAGATTAAAAAGAGTTTTCACAATGAAAACATAGCAGTCATAGATTTTTATGTTCTTAAAGAAAATGCTTAGCTAGGGGGTCAGGAGAGGGTGGAAATACGAAGAACCCAAGAAAGAAACTGAAATAAGCTCATAAAATTAGGGTTAACAGCTGACTCAGGTCCAAATACATGAAATACATACAATTAAATACTGATTTTATGTCACTGATATGTTTATAAAATAACACTTTATGGAATTAAAATGTCATTATTTTCCAGGAGATGAGCTGTACGTAGAAGACCCATACTATATAGAAAATCATCTGTGTACAGAAAAAAAGACTGAAGAAATCATGAAGGAAGGCAAGAGATTTCACCGACTAGTGATACACAATAGCCATCTTTACAGTGTCCATGTGACTATTCAGTCAAAGTATAAACACATTTATCCCAAGAGCTACACAGTAAGCAAGAGCCATCTGTAGGGTGCTGCTAGCTCAGATGCTGGCCACTTGCAGTAGCACTAATGAGTAACGAGGGCTGACTAGCCATGACTGAAGCCTAAGGAACTTTGTGCCACCAAAGCAATAATGCAGTGTTTCTTATAAGGTATCAATGATCTCACTCTGCATAATCTTATTCCGAGTTCTGTATTGTTTTAGCTCTTGCCCTGGTGCTAACTGTCCTGTGTGTTAGCACTTTGTGGGATGGGCTTTGAAGGTTGCTTCATGACTTTCTGTTGGAATTAACCCAAAGGCACCTGGTTAGATGCTGAACTATAGACTGAGGCAACCTTCAAGGGATAATGTTGTTTTCTTGCTGTCTTGAGTTTGATGATTAAGATATAATTTTGGTTTAAAACCAAATAGCATTAGTTATTGTGTGTCATAAATTAGAAATCTACTTTAGTTAATATTTTAAAGAAACATGAAGCCATCCTACAACCATCAACTTTTACACTCTGAAGTTATACTTGGTGAGTGCAGAGAGATTAGAGAGCTAACAGTGCTAAATTAATGAGTTTATTTTCAGTATGCTCACTATGGGTCATTTTTCCACATCCATTAGTGTTTGTTTTGTTTTGTTTGTGGTGGTATTGAGTTTGGACTTAGAGCTTTGCACTTTTCTAGGCAGGTGCTGCACTGTTCCAGCCACACCTCCAGCATCCCCCTGCCCATTTTTTTTTTGGATGGTCTCACTGTGTAGCCCAGGCTAGCCTCAAATTCACAGTCCTCCTGCTCAGCCTCCAGAGTGCTGGGATTACTATGCCTCGCTGGAAAAATCTTTTACTGATTAAAGGTGGACAATGATAGGAAGTTATCAGTTCTATTTCAATATCTTTGATAATGATTTTTTTTTGGAAATGTCTGTTTTCCTACCAATAAAATAAAGGCAATGATAAAAAGGCTTATGTGCATTATTTAATCCTGGTTAGAGGATTATCTCTAGAACACTGGTCTCAACCTTGGCAGTTTTGGCCTCCTGGCTGGTTATGTCTGGAAACATTTCCTCACAGCTGAGGAGGGATTGCTACCACCACCTAGTGGACAGAGGTTAGGATTGCACTTGAACAACAGGCCATGTAGAAAGATTTATTTGGTCTTCTGCCACAGCACCCTGGTAGGGTCTTGGAAGCTAAGCAGGGTCAGGCCTGGTTAGTGCTTGAATGGAGGATTGCCTGGGAATACGAGGTTCCGTAGGTTTTTAAAAAAAAAAAAATGTATCTCACATACCATTATCCTGTCTGGCTTCTGAATCTGTAAGTATTCTCTTTGTTGACTTTTGGCCCTCAGCATAATGTCCTTTCATTGTCACTGAATACCAGAAAGTTACAGCTGGCAAGAACCTAAGTGAACACCATGACTTGCCAGTGATAAAGCTGAGAACCAGAGGCTGTGATGTCATAATAAAACAATGTGACTGGGTTTTCCTCCTAGAAGATTTAGTTTAACCTGTGATTACTTTTTGTTCTTTGAGACAGGGACTCCCTGTGTTGGCCAGGTTGGCCTTGAACTCCCAGGCTTTCAAGCATCCTCCTGCCTCAGCTTCCTGAGTAACTAAGCTTAAGTACCTATAAGTTTGAGCCACCATGCCCAGCATCTTGTTACTGCTTTTCTTCTTTTTTCCTTGGATGAGGTCAGTCCTTTTGCATGGAAATTGCTTGCCTTCTCTTTGTTCTGCTCTCTTCTCACTCACTGGCCTTGCTTTCAACTGGAGCAGCTGCCTGGGGCCCCGGGACAGACACCAGGTGTTACGGCCAAGCTGCCTGTCTGCCTGCTCTGGACTGACCATCTCCTGCTTGTTACATGGAAGATAATAGGCTTCTACTTTATTCACCTTTGGATTTTTGGATCTCTGTTAAGACTTTAGTATTTTCCCACCAGTCTTCCTTATATCATAAATTTACCAGTTTTTCAAGCTGACAGACTCAAGTTATTCTGGTAGGCTTTCTTTTTTGTTGTTTTAGCACTGGGGATTGAACTCAGAGCCTCATGCATGCAAGGCAAACTCTATCACTGAGCTATTCCCAAGCCCTAAAATAAACCTTTCGGATTTTGAGTCAGGATCTTGCTGTGCAGCCGGGATCAAGATCCTCCCGCTTCAACCTCCCAGGTGTGGAGATTACAGGCCCACGTCGTCACACCCAGCCTTTCTTTGGAGTGCTGGGGGCGGAAGCCAGGGCCTTGTGCACAGTAAGCAAGGGTTGTAGCACTGAGCTTCAGCCTATCCCTAAAATCTTTTTATTTGATCAGTCATTCTTAATCTCTCCCTTTTCTTCCCCTATGTCCAGGGGACCAGCAAGTCCTATTGATTCTGTCACCCACATTTATCTTGAGTCCTTTCTTCGGACTTGCATCCTGCTGTCTCGTTAGTGTAAGCCACTGTTATTTCTGCCTTGGTGTCTGTACTGCCTCAGAGCTACACTATCCATTGTGCTGGAACAGTGATCATGAAGGTAAGATGTACATCATGTGCTATCATTAAAATTCCACCATGGCTTTCCTGCATGTGAACATGTAAATGGGCCATGGCTGGCAAGGCCTCCCCTAAGAAAGCCTTTCTTATCCTAACTGCTCAGAGCTTAAAGCAAGTGCTCCACACTTGAGTCACACCTCCAATCCATTTTGCTCTGGTTATTTTTGTTGATGGGGTTTCACGAACTATTTGCTGGGGCTGGACTCAAATTGAGATCCTCCCAATCTTAGCCTCCCAAGTAGCTAGGATTACAGGTGTGAACCACTGGTGCCTGGCAACCTGCACTGCTTTGAAATAAACCTGGATCTCTGGACAGTTTTTGTTCTTGGATCTCTTTGTTACTAAGAAAAAACATATTGGAAACAAAGGATCACATTTAATCTGTAGATTGGTACATCTGAAAGAAAATTCCAGAACAAATGAAAGAGTAACCATTATTTAAAGGAGAGAATATTCTTTTTTTTTGGCTGAAACCCAGGGCCTCTCACTTGCTAGGCAGGTGTTCTACCACCTGAGCCACTTCACCAGACCTGTCTTGTTGTTGGGTATTTTCAAGGTAGGGTCTTTTCAGCTGTTTGCCAGGACTGGTTTAAGTCACTCCCCTTCTGATCTCTGCCTCCTGAATACCTAGGATTACAGGCATAAGCACCAGACCTGGTGAGAATAAAGTATTCTTCAGCTGAAGAGAAATGGTCTTCAGGTGAAAAGGCTATGTCATGGTCAAGTCAAAATTCACAAAAATTATCCAGTCCTGTATGATGTATTGAATTTCAAAGATAAAGAATGCCATAGATTTTCAGGAAGAAAAAAAATTATGAAGGTGCAAAATCAGGCTTCTGAGTGTGTGGCACAGTAACGGCACACTGCACAGCACATATGAAAACACTGAGGGGAGAAAGGACGGGTGTGCCCAATGACTCTGTATCAAGTGTGTGTGAAAGCCATAGAAATATCTTTATTTATGGGCTCTGAAGAGTTCATCCTCTGAAGAAAATTCAGGTAGAAATACCACAGATAACTCAAAGGTTGATCAACATTAAAAACGGTAAAGTCCTGATGGAAGTCGAATACATGCACATGGCTGAATAATTACACATGGCTAAGAAGCATGCCAATGGTAAAAATTCAAACTTCAGCCTGTTTTGTAAAAAAAAAAAAAAAAACAGTTGGGTAGTGGTAGCTCATGTCTATAATCCTAGCTCTTTGAGAAGCTGAGATCAGGAGGATCATGATTTGAGGCCAGTCTGGGTAAATAGTTCAAAAGAAGCCCCCATCTCCAAAACAACCAGAGCAAGATGGACTGGAGGTGTGGATCAAGTTGTAGAGCTCTTGCAAACATGAAGCCCTTAGTTCAAACCCCAGTATGATCAAAAAAAGGTAGCCCCACCTGATATGGGGGCTAGGCAGGGAGTTAGGAAACCTGACAGCTAAGAACTATGGCTTGGGTATTAATAAGGAATCACATCCTTGATTGCTCATGTTGACAAAATGGCTTGTGACACACAGCAGGGTCTTGTTGACCTGGAGCCCACAAAATGCAACAGCCCCAGTCTGACTATCCAAGGCCCTTGTGGAAGGAGTTGGTGATTCATAACCCAGTTTTCCAGGGCTGACCATTGCCATCCTGGCAGACCCCAGTAAAAGCTGCTTCCAGCACAGCAATCCTTGAGTCTGTCCACCCTCCCACCAGAAGGGGCACATGTGCTTTGATTTCACTTTGTTTTACTTTAATAAACCCACCCTAACCCTCATACTGGACCAGGAGCAGCTCTTCCCTTGCATCCAGCTGCTGGCTACTAACCTCAGAGCCCTAACAAACTTGCTTCTCCTATTTGTCACCTGCTTATCTTGATAAATTCTTTCTCCAACCCACAGCACCAAAATCCCCAATACCACCTTTTTTGTAAAAGCAATTTGGTTCAATAATCCCAGACTAGCCAGGTGCCGGTGGCTCACACCTGTAATCTTAGCTACTAAGGAGGCAGAGATCAGAAGGTTCGCGGTTCGAAGCCAGCCTGGGCAAATAGTTCCACAAGACCCTATCTCGAAAAAACCTTCACAAAAAATAGGGCTGGAAGAATAGCTCAAGGTGGAAACCCTGAGTTCAAGCCCTAGTACCAAAAAAAAAAAAATCCCAGAATATATTTTTATAAACAGGAGTGGCTACAGGAGTAAGAATGGCTGCAGTTTTGTGAAATAGAGAAATACCTGTTGAAGTACCTATACCTGGACCGGTAACAGGTACAGTATCCTTAGGGGAAGTGGGGGTTGGAAACCCAGAGCAGTGAGCCTTTGCAGCATTCAAACTATTCATCCCGGTGTGCTGTTATAAATATTTCTAGTTGTGAAAAAATAAAACTTGCAGAACACCATGTAGCAGCAAGTGGTGTAGGTAAGGACGCGTCTCCCACACTATAGACTGGGAGAAGACTGCAGCCTTTGTCTTTGGGGCTAGGGAACTGTCTCTGGGATTTCCTATTTAAATCAGAGCCTGCTATTCCCATCCCTTTTTGACAAGATCTGGAGCTTTCTGGTGAGCTGGCCCTACCAGGTGCCGATTGGGGTGTGCCTGGTTAGCCCAATGTCAGCCACAGGTGAACTTCATGCCCTCTACAGCTGAGTTTTTCTCTAACTCATGCACCCCCATCCCCTCTCACCTCCCCCGCTCCCGCCTCCTACCAGCAGCTTCAAAGCAGAGGCTTGCAGGACCACGTGACATGAAGCCTGATTCATTTCATGACGCTGATGGAAGGTCCTCTCTCCCAAACATGTAACCCCACCATTTCCCTCTTTAATTGGTGGGGGTTTTTTTTGTTTGGTTGGTTTTTGGCCATCTCATTGGTTTCCTTACCAGCAAATGAACACATTTTTGGTATAAGCTTAAGAAATTGTTTTTCTCACAAGCGAAATACTAAGAATTCAGTTGTAAAACTGTCTAGGCCCAATACTTTTTAAAAGTTGTGGAGCCATTAATATATATATATTTTTTTAGGTGGGAATTGGAGTTTGAAACCCTTTGTAAGGACTTCGCACTTACAAAGCAGACGTTCTACCGATTGACCCACACCTCCAGTCCATTTTGCTCTGGTTATTTTGGACATGGGGCCTGGAGAAGTAGTTCCCTGGGCCGGCCTCAAATCATGATCCTCCAGAGCTCAGCCTTCCATGTAGCTGGGATTACAGGCGTGAGTCACTGGCGCTGGGCTTCCATTAATCTTTTGGGAATATCATTCCATCCCTTGCTTGTAGAGATCCTGAAGCGGGAGTGAAAGCTCACCTTCCCTGTGTTCTTGGGTGTCTTTGGTTTCACAGTGTCATGTCATCTGAGAACCACTCTGTGGGTCCCAATACAAGGGCTCAAGCTTAGGGAGCCCTGTGCTGCGCCTACAACAGCAAGGAAAATACAGGTGAGGACAGAACCTGGCCCACGGCAGGGACCTTTTCCAGAAGGGGGTCAGGTGGGAATGTTGCCAGGAGGCCACGGAGGCCTGGGACCAGCGACGGTCCAGGCCTCCTCCACTCCAGCGAGGCTTCTAGCCAGAGACCGGGATTTAAGGCCCGAAGGCGGGCCTCCTGGCAGGGATTCCCGACCTGACTGGGCTTGCAAGCGGCCACCCTGCCCCTCTCCACCCGAAAGGAGAGGGAATGAAGACCCCTGGCCCCGGGAGGCCCGCCGAACCCCGCGTCCCGTCCAGTCTCCCCAGCCCGTCCCACCCTGTCATTTTCCCCACCCACCCCGCCCTGTCCGCCCAGCTCCACCCCTTCCTCTCATTCCCCGCCTCCTGCCCAAAGAGCACCATCTTTCCCAACCCTGTCGTGCCCCGCCCCTTCCGGTCGTGCCCTGCCCGTCTCTGTCGTGCCCCACCCCGTCTGCCCAGTCCCCCGTTCACATCCTCTGTCCATTCAGCACCATCTTCCCCTCGTGCCTTTCTGCCAAGTCAGCACTGTTCTCCCCCGCCCCGCCCCTCGCCCCACTCATTCCCCGCTTTCTACCCAATCAGCCCCCTCTTCCTTCGACCTGCCATGCCCCGCCCCTTCCGGTCGCGCCCCCGCCCCGCCCCTCTCATTTCCCGCCTTCTGCCTAGTCAGCACCATCTTCCTCCACGCTGCTACCCCGCCCCTTCCTCTCACGCCGCGGTCACGTGGCGGCGCGGCGCGCAGGCGAGCGTTGTCTGGACCGTTGGGCGTTCTCGTGTTTTCTCGACGCCACGATGCCAGCGCGGGGGCGTGCACCGGCGGTTACAGGCTGGCGCCGGCCTCGGCAACCCGGTGCGGGCTCTGGAGGCCTGCGGAGAGGCAGGCGCGGTCCTGAGCGCGTCTGTGGCAGCGGCGTCGTCGAGCCGGAGGGCGGGGCGGCCGGGCCTGCGGGCGCGACGTCCACGTGGGCGGCTCGGCGGGAAGAAGCCGGAGCGCGGGTCCGGCTGCGGGCGCGTCCTGACGGAGGGAGCAGGTGCCGAACCGCGGGCCTAGCCAGGCCGAGCACGCGGCAGGCGGGGCGAGGGGTCGGGGGCGAGGGGCCGCGGGCCGGAAGAAGCGCGGCCGGCAGGATGCTGGAGGTCCTGGTGCTGAAGGTGAGCGGGGCGGAGGGCGTCCCCGCGGGGACGGGAGCGCGATGGCAGCCGGAGCGGGGCAGGGGGAGGGGTGGGGGAGGGGAAGTTAATTCGTAGGTAGCCACGTGCCCCGTGCCCTTGGACGGACAGTCGTTAAGTGCGGCCGCGTGGGGGGGCTGGCTTGGCCTGGGAGCGGGGCTCCTGGGCCCCGCGCTCAGATCTTGGCCCTTCCGACTTGCGGTTAGGTGATGCCCGAGGGTGTTGCGAAAGGGGAAAGCCCGGTGGGTGGAGGAAGGCGTGTAGGAAGCACAGCAAAGACCTGGGAAACGGGAGTAGAAACCCGCTTTTAAAGTCCTCCTTTAGCCGGCAGAGGAGAGAGACATTGCAGACCAGGGCAGGGTGGGTCGGTGGGTTGGTTTTGGGGGGAGGAGGGACAGGACTGGGCTTGGAAACTCAGGGCCTCACCCTTGGCAGGCAGGCGTTCTGGTGCTTGAGCCACTCTGCAAGCCCTGTTCTGAGTTGGGTGTTTTTGAGAAAGGGGCCTGAAAAGCACGGAGATAGACAAAGGGGTCCCTCACCGTCCGCGCAGGTTTGTTCCGGAGAGGAAACCTGAGAAGTCTCCAGCAAGAGAGCTGAGGAAGGGCCTGGTAAAGGCTGGGGGAGTTTTCCCGCTGTGTGTGTTCTGGCACCGGTGCTGGGAAACGACGTTTCTCTTGGGGGCCATCTCTATAGGAGCCAGGCAGCTCTAGGGTTAAGCAGAGGGTAAGGTGGCCTGAGATACCAAGTTGAGCTCTTTAACACTCACTTTTTGCCCAAGCTGGCCTCCAACTGCGATCCTCCTGATCTCTGTCTCCCAGGTAGTTAAGATTACAGGTATGAGCACCGATTCATAGCAGATGGTGGCAGTTTTAAAACCTTTACCTTGTCTCTTTCCTATTTTATTTCTTACGTAATTTATCCGAAAAGAGGTCTGCAAACGTTTGAAGCAGCTCAATTTTTTTTTTTTCCTCTGAGGTTTTAGGGGTTTCACCTCCAACTAGCCAAGCTCCTGGCTCCCAGTCAGGTGTTGTCTATCAACCCAAAATGTGGCAGTAAGATTTCTTTAAAAATGACGGCTCCTCCGGGCTGGGGATTCTGCCCCATCCCCCTCCTGCATGGGAACCTGGTCCTCTCATTTACCCACTCAGCTCTGATCTGTCCCCAGTTCTGGCATTCACTTAACCAGCTCACCCTCTTGAGTTTTCACTCTAAATAGGAGTGTTTCCCCTGAGCTTGGTTCAGACACCATCTGTAGTACTCCAGAGTAGCCTGGATTTTATATGGATAAACAGGATGGACTGAGGCTTAAGATGTGACATGTGGTATACTCATCTTAATGAGTCAGAAGAAGGTAGCTTTTGTAGTTTTGCTTTGAGTTTTCCCAGTAATTAGTGGTGTAGATCAACTTTTCACGTGCTGGTTGGCCACCTGTTTATTTTCTTTGGAGTACTGCATATTCAGGTCCTTTGCATGTTTTAAACCAAGCAGTTGGATCTTTGTTGTTTTAGAGGTTGTCTATAGATTCTGGATGTCAGTCCCTTCCCTGAGAAATGACTTGTAGAGATTTTCTCCTGCTCCATGTGTTAACCTTTTACTCTGTTGATGGTGTCTCTCAATTTTTTCTCCTTTTACAGTATTGGGGATTGAGCTAAGGGCCTGTACCCCACTTGAACCATGCTCCCAGTCCTTTTGCCTTAGTTCATTTTTCACATTGTCTCACTAACTGTCCAGGCTGACCTCAAACTGCAATTCTGTCCCTTCCCCCATTGAATGGTTTGGTGACCTTTCAAATATTATTTGACCACATACCCAAGAGTTTATTCTAGGCTCTCCGTTTTATTGGTCTATATGTCTGTCTTTTACCTGTACCACACTGTTTGGATTATTGTAACTTTGTAGTGCGTTTTGAAATCAGGATATATGAGTGTTCCAGCCTTGTCCTTTTTCAAGTTGTTTTTGGTTTTTTTTGTGTGTGTGTGTGACTATTTTGGGTCCCTTGAGATTCCATAAAAATTTAAGGATGGGATTTTCTATTCCTGTAAAAAATGTTATTGGGATTTTGATAGGAATTAAATTGAATCTGTAGATCATTTAGGATAGTATCGATCTTTCATTTCGTATTTATTAGTGTAGACATCTTAACAATGCTCTGTCTTCCTGTCCATGAACACGAGTATCTTTCTGTTCATCTATCGCTTTAATTTCTCTCAGCAGTGTTTTATAGTCTTCATTATAGTTACAAACATTTTATATATGCCTTAAGATTTCTCTGTAGAACGTCATGAGTAAAAACTTTATGAATAAAAACACTTTTATTTCTTTTCAACAGCCTTCTTTTCTTCTTCTGACTAGTATCTCTATGCCCCACTAGTAAATTTCTTACTACTAATGCAGACAGCTATAGTCCTGCTCTTTTGGTGTTTAGGACACTAATCTTGGGATGTCTTTGCTTCTAGGCACTTTTAGTAGGAAAGACTTAAAAATCAATGATTTTTAAAAATGATACTTTAAATTCAAACTTTTTATATTTTCAGTTTATCTCTATATAACAGGATATATTCTGAGAGCTTTGACTTTCATTTTGTTCCATGTACTCCATTCCCTCCTTCCCCATAGGTAATAGTTTTGTGTGTTTTGCTTTATCTGTCATCATTTCTTTTCTTAACATGAGCAGAATATACATATATTATTTATTTCTCCTAAAAAATGCTCTGAATGTCACATCTGCATATTATGTGTATTTTCAAAATACAGGAGACGAAAGGCATCTGAGTCATAACACATGATTGAGAACTATTTATCATTGCTTTCATGCTTTGGAATTTTGTCTTTGGTCTGACCATTTAAGACAGAGCCAAGAATTTGTTAGATCACTTAAATTAGAAACAGTTGCTGTGATTCTAAAGTTTATTATTTTGTGGTTCTACTTTTAAATCATGCATTATTTTATCCTTTAAAAATTTTACAGATTGAAGATCCAGGTTGCTTCTGGGTTATTATAAAAGGATATAGTCACTTTGTAGATAATGAAGTTGACTATCAGAAACTAAATAGTGCCATGAATGACTTCTATAACAGCATGTGTCAAGACGTAGAAATAAAACCATTAATGTTGGAAGAAGGGCAGGTATGTATCCAAATATGCAATGTGTTTTAATTATTGTTCCTTGAGTGCTATTTTTTTTAAAGACAGGATCTTGCCAGGCGCCAGTGGCTCATGCCTGTAATCCTAGCTACTTGTGAGGCTGAGATGAGGAGGATCATGGTTTGAGGCCACCCCAGTCAAATAGTTTGTAAGACCCCATCTCCAAAATAACTAGAGCAAAATGAACTGAATGAGTGGCTCAAGTGGTAGAGTGCCTGCTTTGTAAGCACAAAGAGTTCAAACCCCAGTTCCACCAAAAACAAAAACAAAACAAAACAAAAAGCAACAAACCTCCAGTTCTCTTGCTACATATGAAGCACAGGCTGGTCTTAAGTTTGGAATCCTCCTTCATTAGCCTTCCAAGTTGTATGCCACTATGCCTGGTAATCACTGTGTCTTGAAACACTTCAACATGTAAAATATTTTGGCACCTAAAATGATGGAAGCTTCTGGAGTGTTTTGGTTGCTTTTAATCACTGCCTGATGTTGGGTTCTTTAGTTGCATAAGATTTAGACTACTCCTGGTTGTCATGCAAGTTTATGTGGGGAACCTACATCCAGGCACAAGGGCCACCTTCCTGGGGATGGGAACCAGGAAATTGCTCAAGATCCAATGCAGGCAGAGGAACTTCAGCAAAGAAGACTCAGATTTTCAGACCAAGGCTTATGTGTGCCTTTTGGTTGCTCATGACGTCAGCCAACTCATACTTGATTTCCACATCATGGCTCCTCTTTGCCTTCTTGCAATGTCAGCTCTTCTTGTCCTCTGTCTGGTTCTCTCAACAGGTCGGCCATTTTTTCAGAAAAGTTTGAATTTTTGTACTGGTGTTATGGGAAAAGATGTATAAACCCTTTTTGTGTGTGGTGTGTGTTACTGGGGGATGCTTGTAAAGCAGGTGCTCTACTGCTTGAGCCACACCTTCAGTCCATCTTGCTCTCATTATTTTGGAGATGGGGGGGTCTCATGAACTGTTTGCCTGGGCTGGTCTCAAACCATGATGTTCCCAGTCTTCACCTCCCAAGTAGCTAGGACTACAGGCTTGAGCTACCATGCCCAGCAGATTTATAAACTCTTTATGAGAAAAACTAGAAAACATCTGGATTTCTTTCCCTTAAAATCATCATTAATAACATAATTTGTTATGTTTCCTGAACCATTGATTTATTGAAGAAATGAAACCAGATCAGTTGTCTGTTAAGATATTTTACATTTTGCCACTCCAGGCCAAAAAAAAGTCCAGTCCATAATTTCAGTTTCTGATGCCAGCTCCAAGCAAAACACGAGAAACCCTATCTGAAAAAAATAACTAAATCAAAAGGGGTTGAGTGTGTGGCTCAAATGGTAGAGCCTAGCAAGTGTAAAGCCCTGAGTTCAAATCCCATTATCGCCAAAAAGTTTTACATTTTGAATAGTCTGAGTACTTCCTCATGGTGGTTTAACTTTTCCCTATATCCTGTTTATTTTCTATGGCTTGATAGTTAATTACAAAGTTTTGGCTAGATGTTGAGTCAGTTTGTTTTCAAGAACATTTGTGCTGTGAACTCCATGTTGTGTTGAACTGGAAGGTGATCACACTCTTAGTAGTGTAAAATTGACCAGTGAATTCAAATGGTGGCAGCCTATATCCTCCCTTGACTTTGCCTGTCAATGTTGTCCTGATAGTCTCTCCATTTAGCAGTGACTACTGGCTCTTCTCATTGATGGTGATTTCTCTCATTTCCTTTTGTACTCATGAACTGGTATTCATCTATAGAACTTTTCCTCATTTATTAAGCTGATTACTCTAAAGTAGTACAACTCATAAAGATTAAAAAATTGCTTAATTCTTTTCCTTTGGAATTTTCAGCATAGTGATTTGTGCCTACTATTTTCATTGGTGTTTATAGGTTTGTTTTGTTTTCCTCCCATCCTCTTTTTTTTTTTTTTTTTTTTTTTTTCCCCAGTGCTAGGAATGAAACCCAGGACCTGGTGCATGCTAGTAAAATGCTTTTCACTGAGCTACACCCCAGCTCCATTTCTTTTCATGCTTAAGTACTATTTTGATCCTCATCCATTTGAATATATTCATCATTTGTAATCACTTATTGTGCTTGATGCTTAAATTGTCTCATTTTTGGCTAGTGTAAGTATAACATAGTTTCAAAGGTTACTGGCTATGGGAATTGTTAATTCAAGTTTCTTTGAGTTTAGCATTAAGTAGAAATACCCTTCATCCTTTGTTAGATTTCTCTTGAATCATGTGAGTTTTGGGTTATGTGAGCTTCTCAGGAGCCTACAGTATGGCCATACTGTGTTTGCCACCTTCAGTTCCAGAGGTCAGGAATCTCCACTGACCCACATCTTCCTTGCTTGGGTGCATCTACCCATGTTTTATCAGCCTATTTACTTCCTTGTAAAAGTATATAGGTTGCCTGGCTGGATTGCCAGTTGAGGTGCCTGTGGCCTGGTGATCCAGTCAGGATACTAAGGGCTCTCACATTGGCAGCCTGATTTCCCTTAAAAGTGGCTGAAAGGCATTTATTTATTCAGTCAGTCAACAAGTAATGTTTGAAGACTTGGTATGTGCCAAGCACTATTCAAGGTGCTAGTATTATGGCAATAAACAAAACACAAAAATCCGTCTTATCTTAGAGCTTTGGTCTGGGACAGAAAAGAGGTATTAAAGGCTGGGAAAAGCCACAGAGCATGAGCCTGGGGTTACAGTTTTAATATGGTTCTGACATAATTGACAATCATCTGTAAGCTTTTTTTTTTTTTTTGAAAACAATGCATTTAAAATTTTTTACTTTCTAGGCAGGTGCTCTACCATATGAGCCATGCCTCAAGCCTAAATTTTACTTTCTAAAAATGATTTTACAGTAGTCTTCTAATGTGTATAAGATACATTCCAAGACTCCCAGTGGATGCCTGAACTCCATACACACTGTGTTTTCTCTATACATACTTATGATAAAGTTTAATTTATAAATCAGGCAAGTAAGAGATTGACAACAATAATAAAGCAATCACACTATTCTATAATGACTTGAAATCTGCACTTGTAAGCAAATAAGAGCCACTTGGACACAATCAGCTGCAGTAACATGACAACTGATCTAATAACAGACAACTTCTGTGTTACTGTTTGTGTCAGCATACATATGGTGGACATGTTAGGAAAAAAATGATTCACATTCTGGGCTTGAGGGTTGGAAAAGCTGCAAGATTTCCTCATGCTACTCAGAGCATAATTTAAAATGAGAGTTCCAATGATAGATTACTGACAGGTACCAACTTGTTGTGTCTCCTCAGGTACAGAGAAGAGGTGGGCAAGTTAGAAGATAAAGAAGGGCTCCAATATAAGGACAGATAGTAGTTAGAAATACTGATCTCTAACTAAACCTCTACAAGTGCAGATCTGCCGCAGTCACAGTCCTGGACTTGCTCCATACTGTGCCCTTCCCACAAGAACCACTCATGAGGGCCACCCTGAAAATAGAGCAAGTGCATGAAGGGCTAAGAGCAGATCAGCAAACCTTGCCTGGGCAACTGGACAGAAGTTGACCAGCATCCATGTCCCATCACCTGAGGTATAAAGGCTAGCATGGAAATGAGCCAGTGGGGAAAATGGGTTTCCCACTGAATGAGGGCTGCCATTCACCCAAGCCCAGCACGCACACAGGTACATCTGACCCCCAAGAAAACTTACAGCTAAGTGGACTGATTAAAGTCTCCCATATCTGGCCCTGGATGAGCAGGGGTGGGGTGAGGTCATTTGGCCCAGGGTCTCTATCCAAAGGAACTATATAGAAGTGAGCAGACTGACTATAGAGCTCAGTGTCCAGGTCAATGTCCCAAGACAAGGAGAGCATAGAAGTAGGCTGGGCAGGTAGGGCCTTTCACCTACTGCCCAACCCAGCTGTGTATGCATATACCCAGGTGACAGGATATGTTCACCTCCTCATATTCTAAATGAAACATTAAACTGGAGGCCTAAATGGAACAGGGAAAAACCTTGTGGTAGACAAGCCAGAGCAGCCACTGACTCGCTGAACAGGGAAAAGCACAGGCTTCGAGAGTGGCACAGTGCTCAAGGATGCCACCACCCAACCCAACTGCTAACCTTACACCCTGAGAACTGTCCCACCTCACCCCAGCAGCTACCTTAATCCAGAGCACCCCCATTCAAGGCTATACTGGTCGGTCCATAGCCCTGAGGGGAAATGCTTATAAACACAACTGCAGACAGACTCCCAAGGAATAGATTGTTGGGGAGTATCCAGTATACTGATAGAGCACAGAGATACTCACTCTTCTCAACAAGGAAGAAATAACAACTTTTCAATTCAGAAATTTTAAAATGTGTTTTATCTCTTTAATATGGTTATTTCTTCCTTTTTCTTTTTTTCATTTTTCCTATCTCTTGTTTACAAACTATTCTGGTACTTTACCTCTTTTTATTATTAATCTTTCTATCCTTTTGAAATCCCAATAATTACACTATATTCCCATACACTAACATTTTGTTTACCTGTGGTCCTCATACTCCACTACCCTTATGTCCATCATCTTATTTCATCCCTTACCCCTTATTTTTGCTAGGTAGGCCCTCTACCACTTGAGCCATACCACGAGTCCTATCTCCTTTTTTTACTCCAACACAAGTAAGTTTTATTTTTCTAGCCCCCTACTATACCATACGAGAATTCCAGATCCCTTCATGTATAATGTGAACAGTTGTATAGGTAATTCTGCCAGTGGTTTTTTTACTTTATGTAAATATCTGGTGTGGTATTGAATTGGAGAATTTGTTATTGCTGAATTATATCCTCAGGCTAGTGATCATAAACTAACCAGTCCTGCCAGAACATAAGAGAATAATTCAAGGGAAAGTCTTTAGGTGACTAAAACCTCCAGCCAACCAATTGATACAGATGAGACATCTCAAAATAGAAGCACAAGACATACAAAAGGCAAGCAAGTATGACACTTCAAAAGATCAACAAGTTGGAATCTGGTGGCTCACACCTGTAATCCTAGCTACTTAAGATGCAGAGATAGGAGGCTCATGGTTTATAGCCAGCCTGGGAAAATAGTTGAGACCCTATCTCTAAAAAAAAAAAACCATCACAAGGTGTAGGCCCTGAGTTCAAAATCCAGTACTGCAAAAAAAAAATAAAAGATTGTTTTCACAACAGAGGATCTGATAAATAGCGAATGGGAAAAAAAAATCTCAATTTTTGAACTTGAGAATGATAACAGTGAGATGAAAGATATACATAAACACATCAGTGAAATCAAAGAGAATACAAATAATTGAATGAACTCAAGATATAAATAAACAGCTGAGTGAACTTGAGGATACAAATAAATGAAATAAGACAATGTAAGACATGAAAGGGGAATTCAATAAAGATACAGAGACCCTGGGGGGGGATCAAATTGCAGCTCTGAAAATGAAAACCATCTTAAGTCAAATAAAAAATTGAGTTGAAAGTCTCTCCAGAGTATTGAACCAAAAGTAAGACGGAATATCAGGTCTTAGAGATAAAACAGATATAGAAAAATCAGATGACTGCATAGAGAAAGAGATGAAGAAATATGAATGCAATACACAGGAACTCTGCTACTGCATTAAAAGATCAAAACTATGAATTACGGACATTGAAGAAGAGGTGCAAGCTAAAGGCATGGGAAATATATCTAACAAAAAGTAGAAAACTTCCTAAATGTGAGAAAGATGTCCATCCAGGTACAGGAGACCTCTTAGGACTCCAAACAGATGACTAAAGTAGAACCTCTCCATGGAATATTATAGTTAAAATGTTAAGTACCAGGCACAAGGAAAGAGTATTGAAATCTGCAAGGGAGAAACACCAGGTTATCTATAGAGAGTAATCCATCAGAAACAACATCAGGGAGGGGCTGGGTGCACGCTTGTGATACCAGCTATGGGGGAGGCAGCGATCAGGAGGATCACAGTTCAAGGCCAGCCCAGGCAAATAGTTCACAAGTCTCTTACCTCAAAAATACCCAAGAAAGGACTGGTTAAAGCAGGAAGACATGGAATGAGGTATTCCAAGTGCTTAAAGGAAGTAACTGCAAACCTAGTTTACCCTGCAAAGCCATCATTTAGAACTGAAGGAGAAATAAAAGTCTTCCATGATAAAAACTAAAGGAATTTATGGCCACTAACCCGGCACTGCAGAAGATACTCAAAGGAATCCTATACACAGAAGAGTAAGATAAACGTAGCCATGAAAATATGGGACTAAATCACCAGGTTAGTAAATAAGAAAATGTAAGAAACACTAAGAGAAGCAATGTAATGGCAGGAATTACTGCATACCTTTCAATATCAACGTCAAATGTTAACCTTAATTCCCCAATCGAAAGAATGATTATTAGATTAAAAAGCAAGACCTGACAGTTCATTACGTATAAGTAACACAGGTTGCTGACAAAAACAAACGTTGGCTTAGAATGAAAGTTTGGGAAAAGATTTTCTAAGCAAATGGACCCTGAAAATAGGCAGGAGAGCTATACTCTGACAAAGTAGACTTCAAATCTAAATTAAAAGAGGCAAGGTCACTTAATATTAATGAAGGAAACAAGGGAAAATAACAAATTGTTAACATAGATGTACCAAATACTGTGCCCCAATTTGTTAAACACTACTGGACTTAAAAGCACAAATATACCCCAAAACAATTATAGTAGGAGACTTAAGTACCACACTATCACCAGTAGATAGGTCATGCAGGCAAAAATCAACAAAGAAAGCCAATTAAATGACACTGTAGAGCAAATAGACTTTTTTTTTTTTATTCATATGTGCATACAAGGCTTGGGTCATTTCTCCCCCCTGCCCCCACCCCCTTCTGCAAATAGACTTTTAAAGTATTTCCTCCGACAGCTGCTGTTCGTTACCATTCTTAGCAGCACACAGAACTTTTTCCAAACTAGATCATATTTTAAGACACAAAGCAAATCTTAGCAAACATAAGTTGAAATAACTGTTTTCTGTCAGACCACGATAGAATAAAACTAAACTCAATAGGAAAAGAAACTGCAGAAAATATTTAAACACATGAAGACTGAACATTGAAGAAATAAGGTGGGAATTTAAAAGTTCCTTGTATCTCATGAAAATGAATACACAACCTACCAGAACTTACGGGATACAGCAGGGGCTATGCTAAGGGAAAAGCGATGAGCGCCTACATAACAAAACAGACCTTAAGTAGTCTAATGATGTGCCTTAAACTCCTAGAAAAGCAAGAACAAGCCAAACGCAAAATTAGCAGATTGAAAGAAATGGGAGAAATTGAGAGACCAAAAAAAGATACAAAGAGTCAATGGAACAAAAAGTTGGTTCTTTGAAAAGATAAGCCAGGTTGATGAATTCTTAGCCAACCTGACTTGAAGGAGAACGGAAAAGACCCAAATAAAATTTGTATGAAAAAAGTATCACAACAAATCCCAACAAAATCCAGAGAATTGTGAGGAAACATTTTGAAAACCTGTATTCAAATAAAGTGGAAAATCTAGAAGAAATGGATAAATTTCTAGATGCATTTGACCTAGCAAAATTGAGCCAAGAAGATATAAAACACTTAAAGTGATCTTCATCAAGCAATGAGATTGAAGCAGTAATCTCCCAAAAAACACCAGGACCCAATGCATACTCTGTCAAATTCTGTCAGGTTTTTAAAGAATATCTAACACCAGTACTCCTAAATGTTTTCCATGAAATAGGGGTGAAGGAACACTACTAAAGTCATTCTGTGAAGCCAGGTTTACACTTATTGCAAAACTGGACAAGAATACAGCAAAAGAGAATTATATTCTAAGGCCAAAGTGAGATGCAAAAGTTCTCAAAATATTTTCAAACTGAATTAACACATTAAAAAGATAATATACTATAGTCAAGTTGGTTTCATTCCAGGGATGCAAGAATGGTTCAGTATATGTAAATCAGTAAATGTACAGTATATAAGAAGCATAAAAACTTCATGATCATTTCAATTGATGCAGAAAAAGCCTTTGATAAAATCTGACATCTTTTTATGATAAAAGCTCTGAAGAACCAGGAATGGAAGGAAAGTATCACAACATAATAAAGGCCATATATGACAAATCTACAGCCATCATCAAATTAAAGGGTGAAAAACTGAAATCCTGAGAAAATGCCAACATCATTAGCCATGGAGGAAATGTAAATAAAGTCCACACTGAGACTCCATCTCACCCTAGACAGATTGGAGTCATCAAGAAAACGAATTCTTGCTAGGATGTTGGGGGAAATGAACTCTCATACACTGTTGGTGGGAACGTAAACTGGTGCAGCCACTATGGAAATCATTATGCAGATTTCTCAGAAAACTAAAAATAGACCTGCCGTATGACCCTGCCATGCCATTCTTGGGCATTTAGCTGAGTATAAATCGGTGTGCAAGAGAGATTAACTTGCACACAATGCTTATAGTAGCTTTGTTCACAATAGCCAAACTGGGATCAGCTGAGGTGCTCGACAGCCCATGAATGGATAAAGAAAGTGTGTTTATATGGACATTTACATATTCTGGAATGTTACTCAGCCATAAAGAAAAATGAAATTGTCATTTGTAGGAGAATGGATGGATCTGGAGGTCATCATGTTGAGTGAGCTAAGTTGAGCTCAAATAGCCAAATACAGCATGTTCTTGCTCATTTTTGGAATCTCGGCCAAAGAAGATGAGATGACAACAAAGGGGAACATGGTTTGGGGTCAACAGAAGGGTGCAGGGGAACAGGAATGGGTACTGAGGGAAGATGATTGAAATATGCTTATGCATGTGTTGGGAGACAGCACGATGAACCCACCAAGCACTGTTTGAAAAATGGGAGAGGGGAACATTTTCAAAGTACACTGCATGGTATGTAATTACCACAATGAAACCCTTCACATTAATACATGCTAAGTCAAAAGATAAATGGTTAAAATGTATGAGTTATTTCTGGACTTTTCCATGTATATTTTCCAGCTGTAATAAGCCACATGTAACTGAAACTGCAGTCAAGGGAACTATTGCAGCAAGGAACTCAGTGGGGCAGAACCCAGGTGACCTGTGTGCTGCCCCAACTTCCTGGCAGGCAGTGTGTAGCTTGGGCACAGGTAGCCTCCATGTCTTTTCTGTGCAATGGAATGTCCTTTTTCATTGTTGGGCACTTTTTCTGTGAGGCCAAAGAGTTTGAGAGGATATGAATGTCTTTGAACCTAGAAGACAGACCCTTCCTTTTTGTTTCTAGGTTTGTGTGGTATATTGTCAGGAGCTGAAGAGCTGGTGCAGGGCTGTTATTAAGTCAATCATCTCCTCAGCAGACCATTACCTGGCAGAGTGCTTCCTTGTGGATTTTGCCAAGTATATTCCAGTAAAATCAAAACAGTACGTATTTATTTTACCTTACGCTTTTTTCGTGGGTCTGGGATTTGAACTCAGGGCTTCATGCTTGCAAAACAGCACTCTATGCTTGAGCCACACCTCCAGTCCATTTTGCTCTGGTTATTTTGGAGATGGGTCTCATGAAGTGTTTGGCTGGCCTGGCCGTGACCCTTGAGCTTCCCCATCTCAGCTGCACTGTACTTACCTTACACTCTTTCAATGTCAAATTTTGAAGAAGCTAGAGCCATTACCTTTTGAGAAAAGATGGAATTTTTTTAGCTTCAAGAGAGGAAGTTCCAATTGTACATCAGACTGGAAGTACAGGTGGTCAGGAGGAGGCTCAGCGGGCAGCTCCTGCTTTTGGTCACCTTTTCCCTGGTGAGGGAAGGACAGCCCTTCTCTCATCTTCTGGTTCCTCTGCTGGCTGCTCTGCTCTGTCCCTCAGCTTGCTCTTGGATATGGCAGGCCCTTCAGGGAGGTGAGGATGCAAGAAAGGCACTACAGGAGTTGGAGAGAGGCTCTGTCTGTACAGACGGGGCTGCAAAGAGCAGAGTACAGCACCAGGTACATCCTGTTTGCTTAACCAACCTGCTTAGGTGGGAGACCGTTCAGAGTGGTAACCATGCAGCCCCCAGGCAGCCTTCGCTGATTCTGGAACCGCACTGCACAGCCTATTAGCACTAGCAACGAGCCAGTGTTGGGGTTGTGTCGAGTGATAACTACTTGTTTCCTTCTCAGAGTGAGAGGTGTCAGTTAAATAAAGAGGACCCTTCTTCCACTGCGGGAGGATTGATTGCCAAACAGGCTTCATTGTGGTGTCTGGAGTGGAAGCATTCCATGCAGGAGGACTTGTCAGACATTGGGAACTTAGGGCCTTCTGTAGCTTGTGGTTCTGCACCTTTCTGACCATGATGGTTATAAGCATAGCTGTGTTTAACAATGGGGAGCTTTTCACATTTGGTGTGTTTTTTAGACTCAAGAAGGCAGTTAGTGTAGCCACTTTTTTCTAGTCTGTTGGGGACATGGGCAAGGCTGCTCATTCAGGGCATGGTGGCGGTTCAGGGAACAGAACTAGTTCCACTGAAATTACGTGTGCCAGTGCTGTATCATTTGCCTAAAAAAGAACAGGAAAGCATTAAAGTGCTTGTTTGTTGACTCTCAGTCTTTTGCCTCTTCAGCAAATACTCATTATTAAAACCGCTGTTTATTCACAGAAGACGTTCTTGTAACTCTGGTCACGTAAAAACTGAAAAATCTTAAGTAGAATTTTACTCCATAGGTTTGTTCGTTATTACTCAGTATTTGTCAACATTTTTTTAAACTACTGCACCTATGCCATGAAATTTTATTACCACTAATGGACTGTTCACTAGCTGTTTACATATTGTCTGTATAGCTGTGCTTTACACATAAAAAATACTTCTCAACTCCTTAGGGACCAGTTTTTGCCCCCTTGGCCAATTGTCTCTAAACTATAAGAAAAACAATTGTTGCGGTATGTTTTGTTTACATTGAGTGTAATGTGCAGGTATATCTTAAATGAATTTGTTACACATAGTTATTGTTTATAACAGCTACTTCTGTTTCACTTTCAAGTATCCGAGTTGCAGTAGACTCTTTCATGAAGCTTCCATATAGAGCGAAAAAATTCCGACTTTATTGCACAAAACCTGTTACACTGCACATTGACTTCTGTGAAGATAATGCTGAAATTGTGTAAGTATAGCTTCTTAACCAGGTGAAGCGTTAAGAAAGCGTTAATCAGGCGTTTACCGGGAACCACCTCTGTAGAAATGCTAAGAAGTTCCATGGGCCTCTCCTGTGTAGGACTTAGCTCTGGGTCAGCGGTTTCCAAATCTGCTATGAAGCTGAATGTCTTGGGTAGCCTCATCACCAGAGGCTCCGTGAGGGGGTTTGGAGGAGGCCTGAGCCCTGTGCTTTTTGTCTGTTTATCGATTTAATGAAAAGTAGCAACAACTGTCAAGAACATGAAACTTTATTAGGCAGGCACAGTGACCTACACCTGTAGCCCCAGCTACTCAGGAGACTGAGATGGGGGGATTGCTTGGGCACAGGACTTTGAGACCAGACTGGGCAACAGGAGTGAGACCCTATTTAAAAGAGAGAGACAGAGTTGGCATCACTCTGCATCCTCCTGTGTTGGGGCTTTGCTTTTTTTTTTTTTTTTTTTTTTGAAGTACAGGGGATTGGACTCAGCAGGATCTCATGCCTGCTAGACAAAGCAACTTGAGCCTTGTCCCCAGTCCTCCTTTTGCCTTTAGTTTGTTTTGCAGGTAGGGTCTCATACTTAATTGGCTTGGCTGGCCTCAGACGCCTGGAACCCATAATCCTCCTGTCCCTGGTGTAAGCCCCACATGCTGGCTATGTGAAGTTTTTAATGAAAATTAGGACATACTGTTTTATTTGCAAAATTAACTTAAGAATGTATATTGAAGCCTTTACCAATATATGTACCTCTCCTTTTAGTTTTTAATGTTTTTCATGGATGGATATAATTGTTGTACTGGGCAGTACTATGTGAGTGTAGGTGTGATCTCTACAACAGGCACTGGTGAATGGCTTGATTTCTATCAGTTGTAGTTGATAGGGTAGTCCCATTCACTCCCTCCAGGACTGTGGCATTCTGGAAAGAAAAAAACATAAGCTGAATGTGGCAATCCCAATACTTGGGAGGTGTAGGCAGGAGTCAAATCTGGTTTACATAGGAAGACCCTTTCTCAAAATACAGCAACAAGAAAAGGGCTGGAGCTGTGGCTCAAGTAGTAAAGCACCTATCTAGCAAGCACAAGGCTCTGAATTCAAGTTCTTTGTAATATTATTGAGCTAGTATGCCTAATCTGTTAGTAAAAACAGCTAATATTTTTGTATACAAATTGTGTTCAGAAACTGGGCCATGTGTTTTATGTATGGTACCTCATCTGATCCTTAAAATAACTCTGAGAGGATAGTGGTGGCATCTCTAACAAATAAAACCAGTACAAGCATAGAATATTTCATTCTGACCTTAAACTTTATTTTTCTTCCTTGGTTCTAAATACTAGTTTCTCATGCTTATCTACTGCCTACAGTTTTTGGTATGAAAGTCATAGACAGAGCCAGCTGCTGGAGGTGAATGGGAGATGGTGCTAGGGCATTGGAGATGGCAGTGAGGAACGGCTTTGCTACTGCCACCACCTAGCATTATAGGCCAGTGTGTACCATACTGTCTATCAGGCTGGCTGTGGCAGCCTGTTCTGGACATTGCATACTCAGCAGCTCTGCCCCAGAAGCTCATGGGGAAACAGCAGTGTTGGAATGGAAGATGCCATGGATTGGCATCTGTGCCACTAGAGGTCTTTACCACATAGCAGGGCCTGCCCAAGCTCCCTGTCATCTGCTCCTGTGCCTGACCGTCACTGTCAGAAGTGTTCAGCTCCTAGTTTGCAAAACAATGTTAGTATACTAGCCAAGAATGTTACTTACTGAAGTTGCATCTGTTACTGTTCCAGACCTGCCAAGAAGTGGGACAGTGCGGCTGTTCAGTACTTCCAGAACATCCTAAGAGGTAATGCTAATGGTGCACACTGCAGTTTGCTTTGAACTGATAGACTAGCCTTTCTTCTGTCAGGGACAGGGTTTGAGATGTGCCACCAGAGACGTTCGGCCACCCTCATATGAATTTCTTCAATAGCAATTGTCATAGTCCCTGCACCCCAATAACTCTGCGTGGGTTTGGACATTAGGATTGACAGTGGACATCAGATGGGCTGGTTGTGGAGAGGAAGCCTCTGTAGTTACAATCCCTGCATCGCAGCTTGCTTAAAAGCTAACGGGAAGCGTAATAACTGCAAGTGTATCTTGTTGGACCCACAGTTGAGGAAAAGCCCCGTTGCTCTCAGTGACCAAGGGGTGGTAAGAAGATACTTGCTGCATAATAACCATCATTCCGATTGAAAGTGTGTGAAATGTCTTTGCCTGTCTATTTACTATGCTCTTCATTTCACATCTCCAACTATAAAATATGGTCTCATTGGTGGTGTCAGGCCTCACACCTGGTGACCAGCCTCCCACCAGGCGAGGACAGGCTGAGGCAGGTGTCCCCTGGGGCAGGTGATGAGAAGTGAGCCAGGGTGGCCAGTGTGACCTGGGGGGCCTGGCCAAGTCCCTGACTCAAGAGCAGCTGCCACTCAGACATCAATATTTGCCACAGTTTTAAAATGCAAGCAATCATATTTAGAAGATACAACCCGGCTGGACTTTGTGACTTACTCCAAAGAACAGAGTATGGAAAGGGAAAAAGAAACTTACTTGACAATGGAAAAACCCAGCCCACATACCTTCAGTAAGCAGTGAGGGTCAACACAACCGTGTAGGTCACGTTTGTTCCCCTGATGCAGAGAAAACACTGTGCTCCAAGGAATTCTTTCGCGAAGCACCCATTCCTGAGATGCCCATTTTGGGGGCACATGGAGGATAGAATGGAAGCTTCATGTGGAAGAGTGTGAATGAAAGTTTGGATTTTGGAAAAACTAGAGAAAAGAGAGGGCCCCAAAATGTCCTTGAGGTATTCATAGGTTGATGGGAGAGAATGTTGATGAGGACAAACAGCAGAAGCTGTTTCTGTGGCACAGTCACCCAGATGCCTTCTATTAAGGAGCCCATCCTGCAGCAGTACGTTGCTGGCCACTTTGTTGGTAGGGACACTATGTGGTAGCTAGAGACTCAGCTGCAAATGCCACCATTGGCCAAGTGTGCCTTTGATAGCAACTCTTCATTTATGTCACTTAGCAACCACCAAGTGGAAGCCAAACTATGTGCTGTGGAAGAAGACACTTTTGAGGTCTACCTGTATGCAACAATAAAAAATGAAAAGGTAGGTGAAAAGTGTACTTTGATCTTTTTCTCATTAAAATCTGTACTCTACTAAAACAGTGCAGATGCAAGGTCTATCGTGGAAGTTAGCCAGGACTGTTTTCTGAATTTTTAGTTCTGCTTTCTCAGTACTGGCAGTTGAGCCCAGGATCTAGTGCATGAAGAACGAGCACTGTACCACTGTACTACACTCCCAGCCTTCTTTCTCCAGGGGTGGTGGTAGTACTGGGGTTTCAGCTCAAGGCCTTGCACCGGCCAGTCAGGCTCACTCCCTCTTCAGCTGCTCTGCCAGCACTTCATGTGTGCGCTGGTTATTTTTTCGAGATAGGGTCTCACTTGATGCCCAGACAAGCCTGGATCACTATCCTCCTTTGTGTACTTTCCTGACACAGCATGCCACCATATTGCCATTGGTTGAGATGGAGTCCCAAGAAATTTTGCCTGGGCTGGCCTTGAACTGTGATCCTCTTCATCTCTGCCTCCTCAGTACCTAGGCTTGCAGGTGTGAGCCACAGTGTCTGGCCACAGACTCTTTTGATTATTTAAAACAATCACCTCATTTTATTAACAGAGCATTTTGTTTGGAAGTGAACAAGAAATATAAAATATTTCTTATAAAATAAGAAATATTTATATATACAAATATTTATAAATATAAATATTTGTAAATATAAATATTTATAAAGAAATATTTATAAAATATGAAATATTTCTTATAAAAAGACAACTTTTAAAACCCAGACACATGAATAAAAGACTAATTTTTATAAATACACTGTTTGCTGTGGTGGTACTGCACTTTGTTCACCTAGAATTTCTTGCATGTAATTTGTGTTTATTATAGAGGATTCAGAGCACGGCCAGGTAGGGTGATGCATGCCTGTAATCCCACGTACTTGGGAGATGGAGTCTCCCCGAAGTCAGTGACTTAGTGAGACTCTGCCCCCCAATCTCAGCCAGTAAGCCAGGCAAAATGAGGATGCCTGTAATCTCAGTTACGAGGGAGGCAGAGGTAGGAGGATCATGGTCCAAGACTGGCCCCGACCAACATTTCAGAGTCATCTGAAAAGTAATTAAAACAAAAAAGGGCTTGGGGCATGGCTCAAGTGGTACAGCACCTGCCTAGCAAGTGCAAGACCCTGAGTAGAATGAAAGAGGATGTCATAGGTGAGCGTCACACACGAACTGCCACGCTGGCCAGCGCCCTAGTGAAGAGCAGCACAAGGCGTGACTCTGAGTTCGGGTAGTGACGAGAACAAGGGGCTCGGACTGCCCAGCCCGCAGAGGGTGTCACGCTCCAGGGAGTTATTTTAGACCTAGAGGAAAGGTGCAAAACTAGGGGGTCCCCTACTGTTAACATCGCACAAGTCCATAGTACAATTATTAAAACCTGAAAATGGACATTTATATAGTACTATTTGAAAAAATGATGGACCTCTCAACACCCCACACTCATCAACAGGCAGAAACCAGATAGAAAATCAACAAAGGTACCATACAACTAAATAGTACCATGGACAAAACAGTCTTACAGACATTATTTATAGAGTATTACATCCTATGGCAGTGAATTACACATTTTTCTCTGCAGCCCATGGAACGTCCTCTAAAACAGATTCCATCCTAGGTCATAAAGCAAATCTCAACAAATAAAAAAATGAGAGTAATCCCGTGCCATTATGGAATCCCTGTATTCCATAATGGAATACAGTTCGAAATCCACAGCAAGGAAAATCACAAAAATAACTCACATTCATGGAGATTGACACCACACTTGAATGATCAATTAGTCACTAAAGAGACTAAGGATTTCTTACATTAAAGTGAAAACAAGAACCTGTGGGATGTAGCCACATCAGAAAACTAGAGAGATCCCAGATAAATGCTCTGATAATATCTCTCAAGCTCTTAGAAAACCAAAAGCAAGCCAATTCCCAAAGTAGGAGTCAGAAAGAAGTTTTAAAGACCATGGCAGAAGTGAACGAATTGGAGACCAAAAGAACAGTGACGATAGAGAAAGCTGATTCTCTGAAAAAATAAACAAGCTTGGCAAACCCCTAGCCACGTTAAGTAAAAGAAGAAAGGGGAAGATCCAAGTTAATGAAATCAGAGGTGACAAGGGGGATATTCCAACAGACACTAATGAAATTCAAAAGATCATACGGGAATATTTTGAAAACCTACACTCCAGCAAACTGGAAAATCAAGAAGAAATAAATTTCTTGACACACATGACTCACTAAAATTGAACCAAGAGGACATGAGAAACTTAAACAGATCTATGACAAGTAATGAGGTTGAGACAGAAGAGCCTCCCAAGAAAGAAAAGGCCAGGTTTGAATGGATTCACTGCTGAATTCTACCAGACCCTTAAGGAAGTACTAACACCAGTGCTCCTCCAATTACACCATGAGGTACAAAAGGCAGAAATAGGCCAAACTCACTCTACTAAGCTAGTATTAGCCTAATAACCAACTAAGGACGCATCAAAAAAAGAGTTACATGCCAATATCCTGGTGAACACAGATGCAAAATCCTCAATACTAACAAAACCAACGACACAGTTAAAAAGATCACACGCCAATCGAGTAGGTTTCATCTCAGGGATACAAGGATGGCATAACATAAGCAAATCAATGACTATAGTACACCACACACACAGAATCAGTGACATAAAGCACGTGGTCATCTCAATAGATGCAGAAAAAGCCTTCAAGAAAATTCAACACCCTTTCATGATAGAAGTCACATTCTTCAACAGTATAGAGGCTGTATATAACAAACCTATAGCCAACATCCTACTAAGTGGGGAAAACAACCCATTTCCTCTGAAGTCAGGACTGAGAGGAGGGTGTCCACTCTCCTCACTCGTATTGAGCATAGCGCTGGAATACCTGCCTAGAGCAATCAGACTTCAGAAAGGGATACAAATAGGAAGGAAGGGGCTGGTGGAGTGGCTCAAGTGGTATGGTGCCTGCCTAGCAAGCAAGAGCCCTGAGTTCAAACCCCAGTACAGCCCCCCAAAAACCAAGTAAGGAAGAAGTCAAATTATCCCTGTGTGCAGAAGATACGATCTTACAGCTCAGAGACCCTGAAATGCCACCACAACGCTCTTAGAGCTCATAAACACATTCAGCCAAGTAGCCAGATACAAACTCAGTACACGAGTTGGCATTTCTGTACACAGACAACAAACAGTGTAACAAATCAGGAAAATACCATTCACAAAGCATCAAAAATTTAACACACTGAGGGACAAATTTAAAATGGAAGTGAAAGACCTATCCAGTGAAAGCTAGAAATCACTGGAGAAAGAAATCAATGAAGACATTAGAGGAGAGAAGACACCCCCAGCTCCTGGTTGGCAGAATCAACATTGTGCAAACGGCTATACCACTGAAGCAATCCACATTCGATGAGGTCCCCATCAAAATTGCACTGACACTTTTTTTTTTGATTAAAGTATTCGTGTTTATTGTTCACAGAGTTCATTGATACAACATCTAACTATATGCTTCCTGAGGTGACAAGGTATGATAAAAAGTAGAGCTACTGAGTTACTCAACTTGTAAATAGGTTATAATAAACAGAAGAGATGCATCTTGGACATTGAATTGTCACTACCTCCAGGCGGTGTGTATAGTACTTGTTCATTAGGCTGGCAGCAGTGGGTCAGAAGAAAGTCCACAGGGAGAGAAATGTGCAGGTGTGCTCAGATTTACAGTTTGATAAGAGCCATTGACATGCACGTAGCTTCTGGCTGTACGACAGAGATACACTACTTCATTGGAACATGCCTTCTTGCTAATATTTTAACCCTATAGATGTCACAATGGATGGTCTTAGAAACTATGCTTAGTGTACTTGGTGGCTTTATGTGTCACAGTAAAGGCAGCATTATACAAATGCAATCTTGTAATTCTGCCAACACTTCTGCCTAGAGAGCGCTGCTGCCATTTCATTCTTTAGTGAAATTTTTGACCCCGAGGAATGCAGGATTGTCATTATTTTCAAACAGGTTGGGTGGGTACAGTACATATTTGGTTATCAAAATATTCATGTAGCTTCGGGATTTTGTGTTGCTGAGCATCCACAATGTGTGGACAAGCACGTCAGACCATACGATCTCAGTTGCCTAAGATGGATCATTGTGTGTACATGTAGCATTTAGGACATTCCAACTGTATGGCTTGTGGCTATGGCATATTTTGTTCTTTGCTTCATGTGTTTGTTTCCTGTAATGAACATGTTAACTGAAAAACAAATAAAGGTTATTTTAAAATCTCAAAAAAACATAAATGTGATACTATCTTACGCTCAACCTGGGTTTCTCAGATTTGTCTTCAGTGGCAGAAATCATACTGTCTACCCAAGCACCAGAAGGAAAAAGGAAACTGGTGGAATGATTGATCCTGAATGTTGTAACACTCGTAAATAGCTGTGATTACCCCAGGCTTCATACTTTTTACTGAGCTAGAAAAGGAGCATAGAACCAACATTCTACCTACTACCCCTTCAAAACATCAGACATTCCACACACATATTCCAAATGTCCGTATCTTTTTTCAAAACTGATTCTATGGAACAGTAGAAGCATATATCTTTAAAATGATGTGAAAATAGCTTTGAAGTGAAGTCTGATCTCAAACTAAGGAAATGGAAAAACCCCTCTTTGGCGTCACCATATACCACGATGAAGCGGGAGCCAGTGGCACAGACACGTGTACTCAAAGTTACCCAGGAGCAGATAGTTCATGACACTCCACCTCAGAGTTGGTGCTGTCCTCATACTGTGACTTCACTGAGGTCAGGGCCTGCCACCATGTTCAGAAGGTCCAGCATAGTCCCAAGATTGAAGACCAGGTTGAACACTGGATTGGTGCCTCAAAGTGCAACAGCCCCAGGTGCTGCAGCAGGCACACCTAAGGATTTAAGTCTGGGGCCTCAGCATGACTGCTACCCCTCATCACCGCATGGTAATAATGCCCCTCCTTCAATGTTGACCGTTTTCCGCTTCTGACGCATCCAGGTGACCTCCCTATGGTCCTGCAGCCAAAAGATTTCACACAGCTGCTGGAGATCTGTGGCCTGAACAACGTCCCACCAGCAGGCGCGTGGCCACACTGACATTCTTCACAGAGACAGAAACTCAATCCTGTGGAAGCGCAAAAGGTCCCATGTAGCCAAAGCAATCTTGAGCAAAACCGGCAACAGTGGAGGTGTCGTAAAATACCTGCTTTTTAAACTAGACTCCAGAGCCACAGCAATAAACGGAGCATGTCCTGGCACAAAACCAGACGTGAAGACCAATGGAACAGCACAGAAGACCCAGAAACAAACCCACACAAGCACAGCCATATTTGATTTTCAGCAAAGGAGCCCAAACGTGTCCCATTAAAGATGGCCTCTGCAACAGATGGTGCAGGGAAAACTAGAAGTCCACCTGTAGAAGACGGAAAATAGATCCCAGTTTCTCACCTTCACTAGTATCAATTCAAAGCGGATCCAAGATTTTATGTAAAATAGGAAAATGTGAAAGTAGTCCAGGAAAAAATAGGAAGCACACGGGGTCTTATAGGCACAGGTAATAACTTTATGAAGAGAAGTCCAGTAGTTCAACAATGAAGAGAAAGGATCGACAAATGGTACTTAGGACACAAACTCTTGTGCACAGCAAAGGAGAGTCAGCAGACTGCAGAGACAGCCTACAGAACGGGAGGAAAATCTTTGCCAGTTGTACATCTGACAAAGGATTAATAACCGGAATAGAAAAGGATCTCAAAAAACCCTGCAAAGAATCAACCCATTGAATAACTGAGCAGATAATTCTGAAAAGAAGAAGACCAAATGGCCAAAAAATCTGTGAAGAAATGAGTCACTCCAGCAGCCCTTAATAAACAACATTTTCTTTCAAGACTGGCTCTCAGAGGGCAGGGATCAAGGTCAAGTGGGTGAGGTGCCAGTACTGCGTAGGTCCTGTCTTTCTTTAAAACTCCATACTTTGTTGATCCCGATCTTAATATCCTTAGACACGTTAAGTTCAAGACATGGCATAGACACTCAGGTGGTGACAGTCGGGCCGCAGGAGCCCAGCATCTGAGACGGGTGGGGAAGCTGGGATCAACACCGTGAGCACACAGCGTTGAGCTGTGTGGCTGCAGGGTGTACAAGGCTGTGAATGCAGCTGTAGAAGAGAAGGGTCCAAAGACAGCTTCATTTCCACGGTTTGAGCGCGCCCTTCCTGAGCAGCTGGGACTAGAGGTGTGTGCCTCCGCACCCGGCCAAGGTTGAAGTTTTGACAAACTCTCCCACCAGTCCGGCCAGGTTGTCTGGCTCTCCGTGCTTCCAAGATCTTTCTGTGCTGCTTGCAGATCCTTGCTATTTTGTCACCAAGAGATCTGTTTATGAAACAGTTCTACAAAACAGTTTAACGAAGATGGAGATTTGGGCTAAGTTTAGAGCATTTTCTTTGCAGTCATTTGATTGATCAGGAAACGTTTCACATTTTACAGGTTTGTGTTAATGACGATCTTGTTGCAAAGAACTTCGCTTATTATGCGTCACCTACACAGAACAAAACCCTTGATTCTTTGGAGAAATCAAGATTCAGTATAAAGCCAGCATCATTCTCCAGTAAACCGAACCCAGCCCTGACTCTGTGGCCGATGCTCTGGCAAGGACGAGATTTTCAAGCAGTGAAAAGTGAGTGGGTCTCCCCGGTGCGTATTTTCTCTACGTTGCTTTCTCATCTGAGTGTCCAGTTGAAGTTCAGAGCCTTTCCCTGCGTGGAGACTTAGACTGTGTGTGACAATGGAAGTTTGATCCGTAGTAGCGTAGGACAGGTTTTCCGGTCCTAAGCTGCTACGGTTTGTGTGTATGAAACTAGGAAAAACCCCTTCTCGATTTCCTGGTAACACCCACCCATTTTCAGAAACCCACATTTAGAGTTGAAAGATTTTTAACCAGATAAGGTTTTCCAGCCTGAGAATTTGAGGCACTGTGTTTATTACAGGTTACCCTTCCTTAACGTCAAGTAGCGGGTGGTCATGGACCATGGAAACAATTCTTTGGGTTTTGTGGGGTTTTTTTTTGGCAGTACAAGAGTTCCATTTCCAGGCCTCCTGCTTGGCAGGCCAGTGCTGTAGCACTTGAGCTGTGCTGCTCAGCCCTCCTGTGGAAACAGTTCTAACTGTCGCTTTCTGCTTTCAGATTTTTAGTCTTCTCACACCCTACCAGCCCTTACTGAGTCTCCTGCACCCTTACAGCAAAAGTAAAGTAGAGCAAGTGAATGAGTGAACTCACATCTTTACTTGGTGTTTTATTTCATGCTTTCATCTTGAGTTCATTCTTTCAGATTCCCGTGGTTTAGATTTACTGGTACAGCCTCTTCAGCATTCCTGGTGCAAGGGTGTCGTCGGTGACCTCGGGCCAACTGCTGGAATGCTGGGTGAGTCTTCCTACTTTGCTCGATTTCGCAGGCAGCAAAAATAATACTCGTGTGTGTGCACGCGATGCTGGGGATTGAACCTAGACGCACCGAGTGCTCTGCCACTGAGCTGCACCTCCAGCCCCTTCTCTGTCACCTAAAGATTGTAGAGGTTGCTTACAAGGGTATGGTTACATTCTCTCTGCGTCTCTCCCTTTCTCCCCTCTTTCCGTGTCTCTCTCTGTCTCCTCCTCGATTTAATGGAATCCAGTTTACGCTGGCAGTGATCATTTGCCCCGAATCCGTAGAGGTTTTACTGTCATGTGAACAACAGGCACTTGCCAGCCAGGTGCAGTGCTATACACCTAGAATCCCAGCTACACGGGAGGCTGAGGCAAGAAGACGGCGGGTTTGAGGCCAGCTAGCGCAGCTTAGCAGCACCGTGTCTCAAAATAAAATTGTAAGTAATCACTGTTGGATTTTCTTCCGCCTTTCCTATTCCTTTTGCACAGCCATACTCCTGAGACACCCAACTCTGATGCCCTCTGCTGGGCAGTCTTCCAGGTCAGGTTGTGACTTGACACCTCCCCCCATCCCTGTGGATGCATCCTCTGATCCCGTTGTCACCTACTTGGGCTGTATACCATTTGGAAAGGTTTGGAGTGGCCTTACAGTTTTAATTTGCTCTTGGCTAGTAATGTATGATGCAGAGCACTTTTTCATGTGCTTCTGTGGTGAGGTGTCTCAGGTTTTTTGTGAATTTTTTTTTTTTGTCTATTTGTGTGTGTGTGTGTGTGTGACGCTAGGGATTGAACTCAGGGTCTTCTCTAGGCAAATGCTCTTAAGCCCCCAGTGCTCTTATTGTTGAGTTTTTAAGGGTTCTTGTATATTTTGGATAACAGATAATCTCCTTTCCAAATATTTCTGCTCAGTCTCTGCACACTCTTTTGCCAGGGTCTTTTTATACAGAGTTGAATTTGACTTGCCAGTATCTTATTCAAGATTTTTGTATCTGTGTTCATGAGAGATTGCACTCTGTAATTCTCTTGTGATGTCTTTTTTTGATTTTGCTATTAAGGTAACGAATGCTGACCTCATAGACTGAGTTAGGAAGCACCTCCTCTCCTGCTTCTGGCTTCCGGAAGAGATTCAAAAGTTGCTATAATATCTTCCTTAAGTGTTTGGTAGAATTTACCAGTGAACCTACCTGGACCTGGAACTGCTGTTTTGGATGGTCATTTGTTATTCACTTGATTTCTTCAGCTCAGGCAGGCTTACTCAGGTTCTGTATTTCATGTGTGACTTTTGCAGATTGTACCTTTAAAGAATTGACGATTGTACCTAGGTGATCAATTTTTTGAGCATACTGTTTGTCGGTGCATGGTAGTCCATCACTATGCTTTAAAAGTTTCAGTCGACATAATGTATACACTTACGGAGTATCTTTTATTCCCATTTGATGTTCATGGGATCTGTTGTGATGGCCTTTCTTCACTCCTTATCTTCCTAACATCTCCCTCCCTGTCTTCTACATTCTCCTTCATCCCCCGCCTTTTTCCTCTCTCCCCTTTTTTCTTAGCCCATCTAGACGCTTAACAATTTTATTTATTTTTTTCACGAAAACCCATGCTATGGGCTAAAGGGTGACCTCTCAGAAGTCACATGTGGAAGCCCCAGTGTGGTGTGGCTGTGTTTGCAGATAGGATCTTTGGAGGAAATGAAGGGCAAGGAAGTCGATGGAGCCCTTCTGTGATAGGACCGGACCGGTACCCGAACCAGAAGAGGAAGGTGTGGCTTAGCTTGCTAGCGCTCCCCAAGCGCTATGGCGAGAAGGTGGCTGTTACCTGCCACTGACAAAACTTCACCTGGACACAGGTGGACCAGCACCTCATCTTGGAATTTCGCCTCCAGAATGGTGGGAAATGAGCTTCTATTTTTAAAGCTTCCAGTCTGTGGTGTTTTCTTTTGCATCCTGAGCAGACTAATAGGAACCTTCCGCAAGTTGTCTCACAGTTCTTGGATCTTCTGTTCCATGATTAAAAGTCTTTGTTCTGTTGCTTTTCTTTTGGGGAAGTTTCTCTTGACAGATCCCGAAGTTCCGAGAATGTTTTCCTCAGCCATGTGAAGGCGAGCCCACCAAAGGCATTCTTCATTTCGAATACAATAGTGCGAGGTTTTGTTGTTTTGTTTCGTGATACCGAGGGGCAAACCCAAGATCTCCTGCCCGTTACTCAGCTAACTGCCCCCCTACTCCTTTTTATTTTATTCTTTCCACTTTGGACAGGCGGTTGCTAAGGGGCCCAGGCTGGCCTCACACTCGTGATCTCCTGCCTCGGCCTCCTGAGTAGCTGAAAGGATTATAGGCATGCGCTTCCATGCAGGCAGTACTGTTTTTATTTTGGAATGTAGACACACACATGGAATCCCTAGTTGTGACCACTAAAAATGCCCAGGAGTAGTTCCAGTTCACAAGTAGCCACAGGGTTTTTGAGGAAAGGAAATGAAGGCGTATGAATTTTGACAGGCTTTTAAGGAAAGCCCCAGAACACGGGCTTCTGAATGTACTCGCTGAGGTGAGACTCTGGGCCAGGTGGTGGCACACGTCCCGAGGTTGTATCCTCTGCTCTCCTGGACTCTCCTTTGCTCACTGTGGTGCTGGGTGATCTTTCATTCCTGTGACAGCGACGTGAGAGGAGCTTGAGGTTTTGCCTGGATCTGTGAAGACATTATGAAGTCCCTTGCATGGGTGGGGAGTGGAAGGGGTAGAGAAAAAAAGTCTGTAAACCTGTGTAACGGAAAGCAGGCTGGTCGGTAAGCTGAGTAAGTTGGTGGGCTAAAACTGCACTTGTGAGTACGTTCCTGTTACCTTACCAGCCTCCTACCTCACCCTCCAGAGTAGCTGGGACTACAGGTATGTCGCACCCAGCCTGGCAACCTGCAAGGCTTCTTGGGCGCTGGCTTGGAGATTCTAGCAGGAGAGGGCAGGCACTCACGCACTGAGAATGAGAACAACCTCCTGTATGTGTGATGCTCCTCTTTCTGCAGCCAGCCTCGAGGCTTTGGGACGGATGCCCATTCAACCCCGACGGTCAGTGCAGGGACATGTCACAGCCAAGTTGTCTCACGTCCCCAAGAGCTTCTCTTAAGTTTGATTCTTTAGTTCACCACTTTTCTCTTTGCTTCTAGCCTGGTATTTACTCTGCCTTTTGAGTTTCCAGCTAGAGTTCTCATTGGTTCACGTTTTACGCTTGCCCGTCTGTCACATCTGCCCGTGTCGCTTTGTAGACAACTGCCTTCCATCTCTGGGATATCTTAAGTAGATTTAGTTTCGGGTCCTTGCAGGCTGCTTCCCTTCTCTGCCGATCACCACATGGTTCCATCACTGCGATGCCACTGAGGTACCTGTGCACTTGGTGGGGGTTTGCTTGAGCACTGGTCCACGTGGGGAATTCCAACTGCCACCTCCAGTCTGGGTCCAGGTCAGAGTTGATAACTTGGGCTGAACAGCTGTACCCCAAACAGATGATGGAATTCTGTTACCGGAAACTCAAACAGAGGCATGGGACACCAAGGCTGTTCAGGAAGCAATACTTACTAGCGTGCCAGCAGCAGCTCAGTGGAGTCACATCCACAGGCTGAGCCCCTAGGACAAAGGGGTCTCACCTTATATCCCCTTGCAAGGAAGTTACAGAGGCAAAAAGCAAGGTTTCCCCATCTATGTTTGCATGTAACTCCCATGCTTCACCCCCAGTGCTACGTGACCTTCTTCACGTTTGAATTCTTTAGGTTTTATCTCGCTGCTGTGCCATCCCTTCCCCGCTCCTTTATCAGAACACAGGCCTGTCTGTTTCTCTTGTCCTCCTCCCTGCTACACTTCCAGACCCCAACACCACATGACATGAAGACTTGTGGTGTTACTGCCACTTGCAGCAGCATCTCACATCCCGTGGTCGCTCTCATTGCCCCGATCCAAGGACAGGAGAGGAGTGGAACTCGTTCCAGTTCCTGCTCTGTCACTGACACTGAGCATGGGCACCTCTAGGATTGCCCAGGTAGTTCCTAAGGAACGAAGGCCAGGCTGCACTTCCTTTGTTTTTCTCTTCCCTGAAGCCACACCTCAGGTCTTACCCAAGTGTAATCACCCAGCTTGATGTCTATATTACTCTGTAAACGACTTTCGTCACTTTCATGTCTAGAGGATTCAGATGTTTAATGCTGTGCTACACAGGTGGTTTTATTTGGGGGGAAGTTTTGGTGGTACTGGGGTTTGAACATAGGGCCTTGCACTTGCTAGGCGGGCGCTCTGCCACGTGACCCACACCGTTAACCCTTTTTCGCCTTAGTTTTCAGGTAGGGTCTCACACTTTGCCCAGGGCCAGCCTGGGATTGTCAGTCTTCCCAGCTATGCCTCCTGCGTACCTGGGATTACAGATGTACTCCACCACGCCCAGCTTATTTGTTGAAATGGGGTCTTGCTACCGTTTTGCCTGGGCTCGCCTCAAACCATGATTCTCCTAGCTTTGCCTCCCAAGTAGCTGGGATTGCAGGTGTCGAGCCACCATGGCTGAATAGAACCTTTTAGTTTTTATTTACTATTTTGACTGAGTTTTAAATTTTCTTTTTGCTGTTACTTTTTTTAATGTTTTCTTTTTCTTCATGTAGAATTTTAATACTTCTAGGTTAAAATTTGGCCTGTTGTCTAGTACCTTGTCTATCTACTGTGCAGTTTAGAGGTGAAATACGGAGCTGTGGTCCTCAACCATGGCTGGATCTGAGTTACAGTTGGTATTCAGTTGTATTTCTATCTCTACACTTCCTCAAATGGGGTGCTGCGAAACGGTGCCCCTTTTCCCCCATTCTAGGTTCTGTGGTCAGCAGCCGAGAAAGGCAGCTCCCAATTCTGGGCTCATCTGAAGGCCTGCCGGTGGCCTTTCTGGCAGTCCATGCTGCCTTTTGACTGGGCTTCAGTGGGGCTGCCGGCTGGACACCAGCAGCCTTTGTCTGTGGCTGTTGGGGTTCTCCCAGAGTGGGGCAGGTGTCCAGACGAGCAGCTGAGGGAGCAGACATTGCCTGGCACTCTGTGCTCCAGCCGGAGAGCCGATCATGCTGCTGTCGGGGCCTTCGGAACAAGGAAGACCCCACCACAGTGGGGATCCGATGCCCCGTGAGAGGACCCCGTGCGTGAGAGGCACTGTGGCCTTCTTGGAACGCGGTCCGATGAGTTGGGAAAATAAATGGCTTTATTCTTAGTAGGCTGGTGTGGGAGCTTTTACAACCTTCCTTAACAATAAAGGCTAAAGCAAGATTCTTTTATGTTTAATTTTTTTTTCATTTTTCTTTTATTATTCATATGTGCATACAAGGCTTGGTTCATTTCTCCCCCCTGCCCCCACCCCCTCCCTTACCACCCACTCCGCCCCCTCCCTCTCCCCCCCCTCAATACCCAGCAGAAACTATTTTGCCCTTATTTCTAATTTTGTTGTAGAGAGAGTATAAGCAATAACAGGAAGGATCAAGGGTTTTTGCTGGTTGAGATAAGGATAGCTATACAGGGCATTGACTCACATTGATTTCCTGTGCGTGGGTGTTACCTTCTAGGTTAATTCTTTTTGATCTAACCTTTTCTCTAGTTCCTGGTCCCCTTTTCCTATTGGCCTCAGTTGCTTTAAGGTATCTGCTTTAGTTTCTCTGCGTTAAGGGCAACAAATGCTAGCTAATTTTTTAGGTGTCTTACCTATCCTCACCCCTTCCTTGTGTGCTCTCGCTTTTATCATGTGCTCAAAGTCCAATCCCCTTGTTGTGTTTGCCCTTGATCTAATGTCCACATATGAGGGAGAACATAGGATCTTTGGTTTTTTGAGCCAGGCTAACCTCACTCAGAATGATGTTCTCCAATTCCATCCATTTACCAGCGAATGATAACATTTCGTTCTTCTTCATGGCTGCATAAAATTCCATTGTGTATAGATACCACATTTTCTTAATCCATTCGTCAGTGGTGGGGCATCTTGGCTGTTTCCATAACTTGGCTATTGTGAATAGTGCCGCAATAAACATGGGTGTGCAGGTGCCTCTGGAGTAACCTGTGTCACAGTCTTTTGGGTATATCCCCAAGAGTGGTATTGCTGGATCAAATGGTAGATCAATGTCCAGCTTTTTAAGTAGCCTCCAAATTTTTTTCCAGAGTGGTTGTACTAGTCTACATTGCCACCAACAGTGTAAGAGGGTTCCTTTTTCCCCGCATCCTCGTAAAGCAAGATTCTTACCTGCAATCCCCTCGAGGAAAGTTCAATGTGAACCTCTCTTCCAGGATAATTTCACGTTGTAAGATTTGAAAGTTTGTTTTCTTCCTGTTTGCTCTCGGTTTTTTTCAAAGTAGCTTTTGTTGCCATTTTGTTTTGCAGACAGAGCCGTGAAATGCTCTGCAGATCCATGGAGAGACCCTGCTGAAAACAAGTCAGAAAAGGGGCAGCTGGGAGTCTCCTTAAAAGACTTAAACAAGGTGGTGTCTTTGAGTGTGCGTGCAAGTTCATGGAGTGTTAGAATATCCTTCTGTCGTTGGCTAGGATACTTTCACTTGTGAAAAACTATACTTGGCACATTTGCTTGTTTTGCAAGAAGGTGACTCCAACTGCACTGTAGCCAAGCTAGAGTGACACTGTAATCCCAGCACTTTGAGGCCAGTCTAGGCTACATAGTGAAGCCCTGTCTCAGAAAAACAAACAAATGAAAACCTTGCATCTTTATGCTCACCTAAACAATGAGGAAAAAGTTCATTTCGGTTCTAACTCACCTCCAGTTTTTTGGGGTTTTTTTTGATAGGATGGGAAAGTAATGGAAGGACATTTAAGTCCTGCTTGTCTGCAATGCAGGGGTCTGCTGAAGTCCCTGGGTATTCAGTCTAGAGATGACCTCAACGGCACGCTGGTCTGTGCACGCGGGTCATGGGGAATGGCTGTGGAAGGGGTCACTCCAACTGAAGGTCACCTGCACGGGATAGAGATCTTGTCAGGTTTCATGCTCTTTCTGTTACAGTGTCTTGAGTCCTCAGTGTACTGGCCAACAAAAAGAGGCATCACCATCTATGCTGATCCAGATATACCAGGAGCAAGGTAGGATTCCAAAGTTGGCTCAGCTCGCCCAGAGCCTTAGCTGTCCGTAGCGTCTTTGGTAGTCATATCTCTGTCTTGGGGTATTGGTTCCACGACCCCAAGGACCCCAAAGCCTGTATGTGCAGTCACTCGTGCTGTGCAGTACAGTACCAGAACGTTCTAAGTATACCTTAGTGCCCATTGATCAACCTTTCCCCATCCTGAACTCAGATGCCACAGTCTCAAACTTCTTGCTGCTCTAATTCCAGAAATCCCTAAGAAAGGCACACGTCATGTCCTAGTTGTTTTTCTATATCCCAGAAGCTGCTAGCATGGGCTGAGGGACACAGTGGTGGGCTAGGCTGGGCTGGGCTGGGCTGGGCTGGGCGAGAGCCTCCTGCAGGAGAAATGCCTTTGCTCCGCAGCTGCTCTTGCTGCTTTTTCACCCCATATTCTGGGGCGGACCCTTCCAGACCTTCACAGACTACCCGGCTAGGGCTGTAATGGGCTGTGCTGTTTCTCTACCCACAGGAATAAAGCTATGGAGTCCATGTATTGAAATTATTCTTTCAGTATTTATTTGTCTTGGTAGCACTGGGGTTTGAATTGGGGCTTCATGCTTGCTAGAGAAGCACACTACTGCCTGAGCCACACCTCCAGCCCTCTCAGAATTTTCATGTCTCTGCACGGAGTCCCATGTCTCAGGCCTCCCTCAGTCATCACCAACAGGAAGAGGAAGTGTGCAGGATTCTGTTTGTCCTCAGGCTTTTCCTCCTTTCCTGCTGCCCTGTTCCCTGTCCAGCGTGTCTAGTGTGTTCAGCGTACAGGCCATGTGGCCAGCAGCACAGTGTCAGGCCTGCTTTCATTCCTCCAGGTTCTGAAAGCTTCTTGCAGAAAATCACTTAGGTAGATCATCTAAGATGCATAACATTTTCCCCAAAACTAACATATTTTCAGAATTGCGGATAAAGGGTTCACAAATTTAATAACTTTTTCTGTGTTTTGATTTCTAGTGCTTTAAGTCAGAAGTCAAATGAGAAGTCACTTCGACTGGCTGAGAAAAAAAACTATGATGAGAAAAATGGCTGTGTGAAGTAAGAGTTAACTCCTTGGCCTGAATTGTTCATTGCACTAGTTGTAATGAAAATATAAGCAAGAGAAATTTACAAATTTTGTTGTTAAATAGAACCCGCATTCCCATAACCAAAATAAAGTTTCTTCTAGGCTGGGAGGCTGATTTTTGCTTTTCCATTTGTGTTGCTGGGGCAGGTTTTTCCCTTTGAACCTTTGTTCCATTGTAGAAGCAGTCATTTCTTCCTCCCTTCCTGCTACATTTGAGGTGAAGAATTACTTGAATTAGGTGTAGTGCATGTCTTGAGGCTGTTTTGTTTATGGGGTGGTGGTTGCTTTCTTCCCAGTTTTGTCTGTCTTCTTCTTAGCAAAGAGCGATACTTCATTTTATACCTTAATCCACGAAATGTTTTATGCCCATTTTTATGACTTCTTTTACACCATTTTGGCTTTCACAATTTTATATTCCAAGTGTCAGCTGAGAGGTCAGTCGAATTGTGCTGTGTCACCGCGGCCCAGCAGACCACCAGGCTTCCAGACCCAGAACCGTGCCTGGCCTCTGACCCAGCATGCACTCGTCTCAGTTTAATAGGGCGATGAGCTTTGAAGGCTGCCCCAGAGCTCACAGTGCTGTCAGCTGTTAGGGTACCCAAATTAACACCCAACCCAGTGCATTCCTCCCCCCAATGCCGGAAGGTTCTGCTGTTGCGAAAGGCTGTTTTCTGCTGGGTGCTGGTGGTTCACTCCTGTAATGCTGGCTACTCAGTAAGCAGAGATTGGGAGGATCGAGGTTTGAAGCCAGCTCGGGCAAACAGCTCACAAGACCCTCAAAGAACCCATCACAGAAAAGGGCTGGTGGAGTGGCTCAAGTAAGAAGGGCACCTGCCTAGCAACCATGAGCCCCTGAGTTCAAACCCTAGTACTGCCAAAAGAACAAAAACCAAAAAGCACCTAATTTTCCTTAGACTAAGAGCCTTTCTTTGTCTGCACTCACTTATATTAAATTATAACCTGGTTTATTAACTCTGAAATACTCTCCTGTCTCTCTGTTCCTGTGTCAGAAGAAGCTTTGGCCTTCCTGACCTCCTGATTTGCTAAAAGCCCTTTGCTTAGAGCCACTGGTGATTCTGCTAGTGCAAGGATGGTGGGCCTTGAAGGGGTTCATGAAGCAAACAGGCAGTGGGTTTCTTAGAAATCCAGGTGACCACCGGAGCAGGTGGTCCTGGGTATTGGCTCCCCTACCTCCAAATCTTGAGAAATTGTGTGTCATTACTTCTGGACAGAGTAGTGAGAAGCCTGGAGGAGCGATGGCCTTTCCTCACGGGTGGTCAGTAGGGGATGTGCAGGTTTCTTAGAACGTCACACATGACAGTCACATTGGTGACAAAGTAGAGGAAGGAGACGACATAGTGACATGGCATGTTGCTGTGAGTTTTGCCTCGTGCTGGGAGGACTACCTCGGGCCAGGCCCTCCCAGCCTCCTCTGTTGGGTCTGTTTCTTCTTCCCGCCTCCATGTCCCACTGACGCATCCCTCACATCTATGCGCTGCAGCCCTACATTCACGTCGTTCACCGAGCTCATCTGCAAACGTCAGGTGACGGTGTATTCAGCCATCTTCTCCAGTCTGGGATTGCATGCCACCCTCTCCTCTGGAGTTCTGGATCCTTGGTGGCCGAGAGTGTCAGGGTCTAATCGAGAGTGAGCGGCCCACATAGCAGATGTGTCAGGATCTCAGGTGTCCAGGAAAACCTGTTCCATCTTCTGGGAGCTTCTGGAGCTAACCGAGAGCTCAGACGTAATTAATTTTTGACTGTGGCCAACTTCATCGGTGGCCGTGGGGATTTGCTGTTGTGGTAGACGAGTTCCTACTCATTGGGTTAGCAGCAGCTCCCTGCAGCACTATGTTGAAGAAAGTGTTGATCGTGCAGGAGGCATTCCTTCATGGGGGGACATGTCTGCCGTGGGTGTAGTAGAGTGGGGTGGGGTCCACTTGCCACTGGTTCGTCTCTGACATTTAATGTAACCCTGCGGCTTCTTTGCAATTCTTTGCCTTCCCGTGATTCTTGTATCCTCATACTAACTGTAGTACGTGTTCTTTATGCTTCTGTTGTTTTCCTGGGGACCTTTGCACATTTTCCTACTTAGTATCATCCACGTGGATGGAAGGTTTCTCTAAATACATGGGCCCTCCATGCCCCAAAGGCTGCTGAGGCTGGAATCCAGGGTCTCTTGTGTACTAGGCTAGCTGTACCCCTGGAGCAGCCCCCAGCCCAGGTTTATTCTTTGTAACACCGTTTCAGCATCAGTTTGAAGACCAGTGCTTGTTAAAGGCTGAACTGAAACGCCTTCCCCCGACCGTTGAGCCCTGGTGTTGGGCGGCTGTGCTGACCCGAGCTGCTGCCAGAGCAGCTGTGCACAGAGCTGGGCTCATTGTGTTCCCCACAGCAGGCTCCAACGGAACCCCCAGCCTCTGCCCAGACTCTGGGGGTCTAGGCAGAAAGTCCCCACTCAGCTCAGCCACACGGGGACAGATGGGCTGCTTTCCTGCGCAGCTTCCTGCTTTACCAGAAGCCCTAAAAGCTTCTTGTACTGGCTTGCTTTGCTCAGTTTTCTGTGTCCCTTCACCGATTCAGCTCCACAGGTCTGCTCTGCTGGCAGTATTTTCACGCAGGTCTCCTGGGTGGCCTCTCCAGAGCCTGTCCCCTGGCCTGGCCTGTGCTGAGTCATCCACTACCCATCGTCACCGGCATCCTGACCTTCCCTGCATCTTGCCTGACTGGAGTCCTCTTCTTAGTCTTCTGCCTTCCTCCTACTTGGACTCCTCGTTTTGGGGACAGCACACTCTAATCGCTTCCTGAGAAGGAGACAGGAAACATGGAATTCTCACGAAGCTGAAAAATGTCTTTGACTCTCTTCCGCCTTGATCCATAGTTGCTTAATAACCTTTTAAAGGTGTTTCTACCTTCTAATTTCTGCAGTTCCTGTTATGTCCACCACTGTTTTCCTCTGCTCTTCTCTTTTTTCTTCTCCCTCCCTCTCCATCTCTCTCTCTGTCTCTCATTTCTCTCTCTCCTCCTCTCCCTGCCTCTGTTTTCCCCCTTTCCCTACCTCTCCCCACCTTGCCGTATTAGTTTTCTTAGTTTTACAAGCATCATGACGCTGTACCGTGGCACGGCTCTGTTACGCTCAGCAGTTTGTGGCCCCTTTCCATCTGTAAGCGCTCGTCCCTCACTTCAAGGAAGTAGTCTCAACTTTCCATTGATCACTTCTGCTCCATATTCTGTGTTCTTTCAAGAGCTCCTGTGACTCATGTTGCTCCTCCTGGTTTGGTCATGAAATGTTTACTAATTCATGTTGTAACTTCTTCAGACATTCTTATAATGTACTTTGATCATCTCCACCTCTACTACCTTCTCTTCCCTTCCCCTCCCCAGTCTCCATCTTCTCTAACAGTCCCCCCACTAACTTTCACGTCTTTCGCTTCTCATCTCCATATATGAGAAAACATGATAATATCTTTCTTAGTCATACTTCGATTAATATTTTGGTCTCTAGCTCCATCCATTCTCCTGCAAATGCCATCGTTTCGTTCTTCTTTGTGGCTAGATAATCGTCCATTGCGTACAGACAGCACATATTCTTCATGCGTTCATCGTTTGGTGGGCACTGTTGTGATCGTGCGATGGTAGACACGGGTGTGCGGCTGTCTCCATCGTAGGTTGATCTGATTCCTTTGGGACTGGTACACCTGAGTCAGGTGGCAGAGCAGCTGTTAGTTTTTTTTTGAGGAAAGTTCTTCCTGCCTTCCATAGCACCTGGGCTAATTTACATCACGCAAGGATTCCTTTCTCCCCATCCTTCATTTTCCTGATGATAGTCATTAGGAAAGGTGACGTGTACTTTTAATTTGCATTTCTCTGGTGGCTAAAGTTGTTGAACACTGAACATTGCTGGCCATTTGTATTTCTCCTCCTCCTCCTCCTCTTTTGGTAATAGTAGGGCTTGAACTCAGGCACTCTACCACTTGAGTGAGCCGTGGCCCGAACCTTGATATTTCTTCTTTTGAGAGGTTCGTTTTCCCATTTATTGTTTCGTGTTATATTTTTGAGTGCCTTTATGTAGTTTAGATATTAATTCCCGGCAGATGAATGGCTGGCAAAGGTTTTCTTCCATTCTGAAGGCGGTCGCCTCACTCCATCAATTCTTTTGCTGTGCATCAAGTTTTTTAACTCGATGCAGTTCCATCTGTCAATTTTCGTTATTTTCTGTGCTACTGGAGTCCTTTTCAGAAAGTCATTGTCTGTGCCTACATCTCTAAGTGTTTCCCCTATGTTTTCCTCTAGTAGTTTGAATATTTTAGGTAAGGGTTTTGATCCATTTTGAGTAGGTCTGGTTTCAGTCTCCTACATGAGTATATCCAGTTCTCCCAGCAGCCTTATTAAAGAGGATGTCTTTTTTCCCAGCATATGTTTTTGGCACCTTTGTTGAGTATCAGATGTCCCTAGAGGGTGGTTCCTGGGTCCTCTATTCTATTCCCTCGGCTCATGTGTCTGTTTTTATGTCAGCACCGTGCTGTTTTTGTTATTACGGCTCTGTAAAATAATTTGAATCGGTACAGTGATCCTCCAGCATTGCTCTTTTTGCTCAGGGTTGCTTTGGCTATTGTGGGAGTTTTCTGCTTCCATGTAGATTTTGGGATTTTTTTTTTAGCTCTGGTCATTGCTATCTTGATGAGGACTGTGTTGATTGTGTAGATCACCTTTGGTAATATGCACATTTTAACTATATTAATTCTGCTGAGCTGTGAACATGGGAGGGCTTTCCATTTTCCAGTGTCTTTGTCAATTGTTTTATAATTTTCATTGTAAAGATCTTTCACCTCCTTGGTTATGTTTAGTCCTAGGTATTTCATTCCTTTGTGGCTATTGTAAATGGGATTGATTTTCTGATTTCTGTTGTATAGCAAAGCTACCTAATTTTGTGTATTGGTTTTGTATCCTGTTACTCTGCTGAAAGTGTTTATGAG